TAGTGCCCGAAGTTTGTCGTGTTTGGGTGTGCGTTGGCTGTCAAGTTCCAGGAATTCGTGGACTTTCGATGCGCTGTCATCGATGCGCTGTCAAGACACTCCACCCGCGGCGATCCAGACAGTGATAGAGGGTCGGCGACAAAACTACTTCGCCCGTGACAACCCTAAACATCTAACACCAACACCAGCCCTCTAAACATCAACCAGAATCAACGCTAACAACCATCGTTATATAAAAAAAACACGGCGTTTGTCAACACCATACAATGTGAAGAAATGCATGGTAGCTATAATAATGAATTGGAATAACGCTGCACTTGCAACAGTGGTTGTGATATCGCATACACAGCAGCATAAACCACCAGTGCAGCCTTGACGGGCGTCTATCCCCATTACTAGGAGAACAGCTATAAAGGCGGTGACCGAACCTTACAGTTACATATATGTTTCATTTCATCATGGAACTTTGTGCATTCTATTCTCTGCTGGATCGATTTTTACCTTGCTTCTACAGATAGTGAAACTCACATATCAACAACACCTGCCATCTACTTCAAGGTGAGAATATCTATTAATAGAAGGATTGGATTTGAGCAATTAACTAGATATCGCACATACCTCAATTTGAGCTGTGGTGCGTGGCGATTATGGCAGCGGCGGTGGTGACGGCACTGGCACCATGCATGTTGAGATAGTGGCGCTGGCAGTGGTAGCATGGTCGTGGAAGTGGCAGTGACAGCATCGTCGCGGCGTTGGGCAAAAGACAGCTTGATCGCGGCGGCAACGGTGGCGACCGCGGGAGCAGTATTCTTTTAGGCATGGTGAACTACAATGCTACGGTACGACGATTTTACATTCTCATATGATTTATTGAAATATACTAACATATCTAGCTTGATTAGAGCCAACCATCGATCTTGATCAAGGCACCGCGGACGACAACCGTGGGGAGGCCCCGGCTAGAGTCGCTGGAGGGCTAAAATTCAAAATTTAATTTAACATTTTTTACGTAATTTCATTTGTTGTGTTGCGTGTACTGATTAACCACCCTTTACTGCGAGTTCAAAAGCAACTTCTATTCGCCAAGGGGGCCCGAGTAGAATGATCTGATATGTGAGCCCCCCCCACCTAAGGTGGCGAAAATCCTGCGGTGGTTCCGCATGGTACTTGAACATTCAAACCAGTAACTCATCAGGTACACTCACCTTCTTATCTTCACAGCAGGTCACTACTTAAGTATTATCAATTTAAACTTATCAAATTGAAGCGTTCAATTGCAATGGTCGTAGCTGGTTAATCGACGACAAAGGCGATGGGTCTTCGACTAGCCCGGCACGAAACAGCCCGTCAAAGCGTTGAATGTGGGTATCCAAGTGCCCAGCACAGTGCAGCTCACGCAGTTTCTTCAAGCACGCGCCGCCTGCCTTTGTTTTGATTCCTCTTTCTTTCAAATATAATCCCAACTTCACCTCTGCTGACTTCCCTAGCTTGAGTACATCGTCGCGGTATCCATCCTTGTGCTCATCTAGGCTGTATCCACCTTCGATGAAAAGTCGCATGAAGTCAACAAGCAGCTCATGTCCGAGCGGTGTTGACGGTTGCCGACGTTGCCTTGGTTCCATGGATGTGGGACCAGCGTGAACCACTCAAACCACAACGTGGACAGCATAATCGCTTCTCCTCGGCTCTTCTTCGCCCGTACCACATCCGACTTGGGTACACTGGCATCCCGCTTTGCACCCTTCGCGAGCGGCGTTGTTCGGGGACAGCCAAGGAATTTCTCATCGTAATACAACGACAAACCTTGTTCGTCTGATGTCTTCATTCGCACCAATCGCACGATTAGTACTCCGGCAGCGGTGACCATGAGGTTTGCCTTCTGGAGTGACGACAGGTCCGACGCACGGCCAAATAGGTATCATAACAGGCACAACAGAGCGGCATCCTAGTAGTCGGTAGCATTCTTCGCGGTTGAGTACTGGTAGACCATGAGAGTACGGAGACAGTCCTTAATGCACGCTGGGGCCTTCTTGATAAACCCACCCGAGTTGCGTTTCATGCAGTACCGGTCGAGGGTTGAGCCCATTTTCAACAGCTTGGCGGAGACGGCGGCGCTAAGTTGGTAGAGTTCAATCAGCCACAACATGACGTGGCGGTAGTACAAAATGACTGTGTCCGAGCGATGTGTTTCCCACCCTTTGTGTCGAGGAATGCCAAGTACGACCCAAACTTGTCAAGCACACGTTCAATGGCAACGCCAGTAGGGTCAAGAGCAAATTGTGCATGAATGTATTCCATTGTTACATTCTCTTCTGTGACAAAGCACGTAAACGACTTGATCGCTGTAGCATTCGCCTTGGTCGTGTTGGCAGACACAAGATCTTGGATCCCCATGCAGAATGGTATGCCAAAGTGATTGCTACCAATTGTCCGAGCATAATATTATATGCAGGAAAATATGTGTTAATGCTAGCATTTGTATTGCACATATTCATATTTTGTGATCCATTCTGACAAATCTGTCCGAACTGGTCCGATCTTGTCCTAGCAATTACGTATACATCGATTGGCTTAAATGTTCTCTAAAAACAACAAAATGCAAGTATAATTGGCTGGTAATCATGTCCCCGGGCCGGATTGGTTATAATTCCGGATACAATGCACAAGTATGTCCGCAAAGTGATCATATTCACCCATATTTAAAAACACCCATTCGTGAGTCAGTATATTATTTCAGCACGTGTGGTTCGTAATGGTATTCGTCCTTCGAAGTAAGCAAGCCAATCAAATGACGCCATTCATGTCCCACTCGAATACAAAAGAGGCCTTGCATTCCGTAGTTCCTTGTATTTGTCGGATTTCCATACTGTAGTACTATTATTAATACAGTAATAGTAAATTTTACATATGAAATCTGTTTTGCCAGTTACAAATTTGTTAGGTGGTTAACCGACGCCTCCCAAAAAGTGATCTTAACGATAGTACAACTAGACCTCTTGACCAATGACTGAGCGTTTGTCGATAGACCCATCACATTCCAAACTCACTCTGTCAAATTTTATTCAATCCTTCACATAATTTTGTGCCTCTACTTTTACGAAATGACTGAGTGATTAATTAACCAATAGACCGAGTCACATCCTTTGGATATTGTGACTTTATATTTAATTGCAACATTTACCAGTCACATAGTATTAATCAAAAATACCACTTGCATCATCACTATCAAAGTCAATTCGTAAATTGATTCGTCTATCGCGATATACAAAGTCACTGGTTTTGAGGCTAACTGTACTACGTAGTACTATTTTCCCTATCTTTGGGCATGACTGGTGGGATTCGACACTGCAACTTTTACATTGAGGGGTTTTGAATGTTAATATGATCGAATGAATGCAGCTCAAATCGGTTGATCCCAGATCCGTCAAGCTTTCCGCAGCCTCCTGTCACATATACGTGGAGATGATGGAGTTCTCTGTCAATTACCGTATCATTACGAGATTAACATTCCTTTTTACACCAAATCACCTTTGCGAAAATATCATTTTCGTCGACCCCCTTTCCTTTCCAAATCAATCAAACTTGAGCTAACTTAATTAATAACGGTTAATGTTATTTACAGTTAGTTTGACGTCCCTTCGCCTGATTGAGTTGGTGTTTTTTTGGTGAGGTACGCTAGTCGTTGCTTGAGCTGCGCCAGTCGTCCTTGGTAGTCTTCAATATCGATCTTTCGCTTTTCATAGTCTTGCATCAACAATTGCGAGTTGCCAAACCCTTGTTGGTGCTTCATCTTCTGCTGGCTGGCCCGGATGCCGTCGCGCTCCTTCTTCTTCTTGGTTAACGTATCGCGGTTTTTCGTTAAATCTTCGTCTAACTCGGCCAAGTCTTTTTTCAGGTTTTGGTTCTCTACCAACACGAATTGCAGCTTTTCTTTGATGTGTGTCAGGACTTGGACTGTCGTCGTGGTCTTCTTCCGCAGCTTGTGGAGCTCTTCGTTCCGCTCTTCGATCTTCTCGTTCAGCGTTTGATTTTCAATTTTGAGTTGCTCAAAGTCAATCAAGTGGAGTCCCTCCGCCAGCTGCTCCTTCGCGTGCAATTGCTGCTCCAACTTGCGCAAGTGCGTGCGCAAGTTGATATTTTTTAACCGAACCTATGATCGACATCACTCATCCACGTGCTCCTCGTAAGAGAGTACCTTTTCGACTTCTTGGTCTTTTTTCATTTCTGCCACTTCGAATTGAGCAATCACGCGTTTGGGAATCGGCTTTCCCGTCCGCGTGTTCTCGGCACTTCGAGCCACCTCGCGTTTGAACTCCATGAACGATTCTTGAATCTCGTTCGCCTTGGATTCTTTCTCATCCAAACGGGACTAGATAGATCCCATGAATGTCAATCGAAGTCGTCGGGGAGAGGGCTTCGTTACCTGCAGTTCCATGGCAATTTTGTCATACTGTGTCTGCGCCGTGAGCAGTTGCGCCCGCGCCTCGTGCACGCTTTTCAGACAGTCGTAGTAGCGCTTTTCATTCTCCACCAAACTCAGGCGGTCATCCTTCTTTTCCGCCGAAGCGTCTTGTTTCTTCTGCAACAGTGGCACAACCTTCCGTTGGAGCCTACATGGACGTCAACGACATCTAGGGGAGTTTGATATGGAAACCTACGCAGCGTTGGTTTGCTGCAGCTCGTCACGTTGATCTGTGGCTTCTTCGATCAACGTTCGCAGCTTAGTAGCATGGCCTATCGCCAATGGCTCCACCCCGCCATCACTTTCCATCGTCTCGCTCAATTGTGGCACTGCCAAGCAGAATCGGTTTCAGAAAGCGTTTCAAGTGGTTGGTTACGAAATATAAAAGTATACTACGTAGTAAATGCGCAGGACATTTGATACAAGTAACAATTAGACTCCTTGTGTGACACAACTTGACTACGGTTGATAATATCTGTCGCGTTGACTGGCAATGGCGATGCCTTCGAGGCGTTCAAATCGCTGTAGCATGGCCTTGTATACTTCGTGAACTCTGCGGTTCGGAGTCGCCTTCAATTCCCAGTCAACAGCAGGGCAAAACGGCACCGCCGATTTCACTTCGTTGCAGTGGAAGCCATGCTGGGCCCGCAATGCCCCGCCCAGCGCCGCCGTGTGGTGTCCATTGGCTTCGACATACACGGGGGCCTGCATGACATTCGATAGCACTTCCAAGATGGACGCGTTCACGGATGCCCCCCCGCCCACGACAATGCGGCGAATGGGGCCTTTGTACAGCTTCTGGATGTACCGGTACATTGCAAGGCATTGCCACTCGACGATGGCTCGGACTTCGACCTCCGCCGGCCAAGTGAGGGCGTCCTGGGGCTCGTCGTGGCCATTGAATCCATGCACACCGCTGAGGGTCGGACTATCAGACTCAGTGGGCACTACGGGGGTGATTTCAGGTTGCAAGTAGAAAAAGCCCAAGTAGCCATGGTTGCCCGGTGGGCTGAGCTCCATCAACCGCGAAAACTCTTGCCAGGTCCCACCCGCCCGGCGATCCCTCACATTCTACGAACGAATCTATACTTAATCTATTTTGACAAGAAAATATATCACAACGAGCACCAACCTCACGAGCCAACGAACCGTTTTTGAAGCACACCATGGCCTACGCAAACATCCACGAAATGAACTTGATACTGGCAAATCCATATATTTATAACTATACCATCAACGTCAGCGGATCCACGGGGTTCACCATGACATGCCCAAACTCTCCACATGGACGCACATCGGAGGCCGCGCCCACTGCAAACAAACACCCAGATGTGCCTAAGGAGATTCCAATATCTCCGCATTGCGATAGTCCCATGCCTGCATAAAATGTTGTTAATCTACACATCCAAATAGTGTTATACCTGCTAAGCAACTCGGATTGTCTCCTGTGAATGGAAGCACGATGCAATCGGCCGAGAACCCATGCACCGATTGAAAAAATTTAGCCACCGTTCCCCCGGACTCCGTCGACGGAATGGGCTCGTCGCCCAAGACCCGCCGTACGGTTCCAAGGGGAACGCCGCCGATGGCTTCCATAGCGTCCATGATGGGTGCTGACCATTTCCGCGACCGCACGTCCATCACGTTCATGCCCGACGCATCGCTGTGTTCCACGGATGACAGCTGGCCCAGAAACAGCGACGTCAACAACGACGACGCCAAACTCACCCTCGACGGCACTTGACCCCACAATGCCATCAATTGGATGCCAGTGAAGCGCTCGTACGCCCGGGACCCCGTAATGTCCGCCACATGCTGACTCCCGCCCAGGGCCGCCTCCAACGCTTTGCAGTGGCTGGAGGTACTCGAGTCCATCCAGCTGCGGCCGTTTTCAGGGTCAAATGCACGCTGCTCTTTCAAAAACGCATGCAAACGTCCGTCTTGGGGCAACTTGAGCGAGGAAACTTTCCAGAACACGCTGGTGTGCTGTTGGGCACACCCACTGACCGCTCGGATTTGAGACATCGCATGGCCAGACTTGTCCAATTCGACGGTCAGATCTTGAAGTAGTAGCTCCAGTGCCTCGACAAACATCAACGACGGCACTTCCACGTGTCCATTGCTGGCCAATACGCCTTTGGTTGTACCTATTGCTCGGTGAGCTTCGATAGGCGGCCATGACCAGCAGCATACCGTAGTGTGGTAGCCGCTTGTCGAATTGAAAGGAGGCGGACGCAATTAGCGTGAATGGACTGGAGGATTGCGATGGCTCGTCGGACTGTATCACAACCCCCGTCATGCTCTGTGTCGAGCAATCGATGCCAAGGAACAGCGCCATGCTGGTCAGGGCTTTCAGTTCGAAATGATACAACTACAGTAGTACACCATTTTCTAGTTAGTACTTTCAGCTTTTATTCAGTATATTTCCCCTGTTATCCTTGTTTTTCACGAAATCACCATAAATTATTTACATATATTTACGAAAACTGAATTCACACGATGGTAGAAAGTAGTACGGTTTGGTGAAAACACGAAACAAAGTTGAGGGGAATAAGATGAAATACTACTAAATAATATTACTATTACTTCGACGTATTAATAGTTCTATTTTGATTAATAGGTGCAAGCAATGCTGCGAGATCCACTGAACGACATATAAATTAGATTACTCGGCCCTTGCTCGCTTCGCCGCTTTAACCGCGGCCACGAGCATCGCCGTGTCGTGCTCAATATTCCGACTAAACCTGGTGGCGGCTTGCACGAAAGACGTTGCCTTGCGCAGGGACTCGCACACAGAGTGCTCTGTGGGGGCGACCACGCGGTCGGGGTACAGGAATGGGTGCTCCAGTAGTCCATGGGGGCCCTCGATGGCTGGTCGCAGCTTGGGGTCCCACTGGAGGCACGACTGCACGACGTGGGCCAGCTGCTTGTTCTTGAGGGGAGGAAAGCTGATCGAGTGGTTGGGGTCTGCGATCATGATAAACTTTTGAATCATGTGCGTCACGTTTCCGAACGGAGTGTCCCCGTATACGATCTGGTACAAGATGCACCCAAGGGACCAAATGTCGCCCGCTCGCCCCACCTGCATCAAATCAACACTCGTGTCAAGAAGAAAATATAAAAGAAATAAACTAAGCACCTTTTGCGGGGTTTCGCTGCGGCCAAGCGAGCTCGCGGCCACTTCGGGTGGCATGTAGTTGGCGGTGCCTTCGACCTGCTCCAAGATGACGTTGGTCGTGTCGTTCGAGATGGCCTTGGCAATTCCAAAGTCGATCAGCTTGATGGCGCCATTGACGAACAAAAAGTTGGCCGGCTTTAAATCCCCTACAAAGTGTGATATTCGTAACTTCGCGTCGACTGGTTGTTATATACCATGAATAATGCGCCTGTTGTGAATGTAGTTGACTGCCTGCAGCATTTGATGCCACACTATCCGGAGGAAGTTTTCTTCCACGACGATGTTGTGTTGCTTGAGCTCCTTGAGTTTGTTCATGAGGTCGATTTCGCCAATCTCCATCACCTACACACACATATGCAACACATCGTCGACACACACCACATCTGTCTCTCTCTTGTCGTACCACATAGAGCACTTTGAGGTTATAATCGAGCTCGTTGGCCACCAGTTTTATCACATGCGGACTGCCCTGGAGACTCTTCAATAAGCTGATCTCGTTCTGGTAGCTCGTCACGCTGGCCTCGTCCATCTTCTTCATCTTGATGCGCTTGAGAGCGTACGTTTGCATGTCCGGCCCCAGCACTCGAAACACCTTGCTCGTGCCACCCGATCCGATCTGCTTGAGGCTCAAAAATGTAATACCGTTGACCTACCGACGCATACAATCATCTGCATGAATAGACTACTAGGTAGGAAGTACCGTGAAATGGTTCTTCGGGTCAATCAACCGGTCGACCACCGTCACGTGCAAAGGCCGGCTGTCGCTGGGACTGGCACTAAAGAGAGGAGGCGGCGACGGCGTGTTGGCTTTGCTAGTCACGGGGCTGCTGGCGATGCGTTCATTCGGTTCATTTCGACGGCGCTTTGACGGGTTTTCCAATGCTTCGTACTCATGGGCCAAGGTAATCTCCATGTCGCTCTTGGTTGGGGAATCCATCAAATCCTCCGACACTTGGTACGGCTTGGAAGGAGATAACGGCCGCTTGACGACGTGTTTGACTGCAGTATGATTTCCAGTGGCCATGGCAGATTTAGGCGTGGCCAATGGCGCGGTTCCCCGTGATGGCGTCGAAATGGAGGGCGGCAGGTCACTGGACCGAGCGATGGCAGTGGGACCGCCGTAGCGCTGCTTGAGTGCGTCTGCATCACCAAAGCGTGCATGTTCAATGTCAAAATCACTGGCGGATGCAGAAACGGGGGTGGATTTCCACGCAATGGGCTGACCTGGCGCCGCAAAGGTCTTGAAATCAGTGGAAGCCCGCTGCGGAATCTTGGATGGCTGCCACAGCGTCGCGCCACTGGTCGGTCGTTCAGGAAGAACGTTCTTGGAAGATTCCTAAGATGGAGTGGCTACAAATCAAACGAATATTCACAACGACGCTCGAACATACTACTGTAGGTGGTCGAGTGCTTTCAGGCTCGTCGTTCTCCTTGTCCGAGTCCTGGGACATGTGCTCTGACTTGAGCACTCGCTGCGGCAACCCCAAGTTGGCTATGTACGACGACATGACGAATCCAGCTATACATTTTGGGCGAGCAGAATACCTCGGTCGAATGTAATGCGGGGAAACTTTTGACTGGACCGGGTGGAGGAGGGGTGTTGCCGCGACGACAGCGGAGTCATGAGTCCTTCTCTGAGCTTCGATATCGATCGCGGCACCCCAACGTCCTGGGGTTGACGAGGAGTTTGGATGCCTGATACGAAGTCGCGCCGCAGCGTTGGTTGAGGGGTGGGGGACGTTACGACGGCCATTGGAGCAGGCGGGGCGTCGTTGAGCCCTTTCCAGATCCTGTCGCGATCGGCGCTGCTCAACAGACTTTTCGCCACCGCCAAGTTTAACATGTCGTGTGCCGTGTCGGTTTCGTCTACAAGAACGAGTGAGGCGACATGTACTGTCTGTCTTAAACGGCTCCTGCGTACGTTGAGACTTCTCAAACTTGGCGTAGTACTCGAAGAACTTGGTTTGGTTTTGCGGAAGGCCTTCCATCAATGCCTGGCGCAGCAACCCTCGCTTGCGTTTTGGATCCTTGAGCAGGTCGCCGTAGTCGAGGATGATGTCGATGTGGTCGGATCGCTGATGCCCATCCAAGCCAGGTTGCTTCAAGCAGGATAGCGCACGACGGAATATAGTTTGGACTAGATGCGGATACCTGCCCGCGAGCCGCTTGCAGTTGCCAACGAGTCGCTTCCACAACGCTGGATCGAAAGGGTTCTTCAACAGCTCATTCACGATGGACTTTCTCTCGTCAAGCAAAGCTGCTCCGGTCGCATGATCTCCATCCATGTCGCTGTCTCTGATGCCAAGCATGAAGAAATCGGACAAGTTCTCGTCCTTCCTCAGGAGCTCCTCCATCGTCGACCGAGCGAGCTGTGTCCGTCGCCTTATGTACTGTTAGGGTTTTGACGCTGTTTGATTGGCTCACCCGCTGCAAAATATCTCACCTGACGATGTCAACGCTGAATTTCAAAAATACCTTGATGTTAATATCAAATAAATTCCAATGGACATTGGTGAGAACTTGTGGTCTTCGTCAAGCAGGAACCGCGACATGCTCCGAGTGCCATACCGCCATGCTGAATGCTATGACGAAGTCGCCGTAGCACCCCCACGCGCTGAGCTATGTGTACATGCATTACGATGATGCACAACGCACAACACTAGCAAGCCGTCCAAGTGTGATTTGTGGTGGCTTATGGTAGATCCCTATGACAAACTCGGGGTTCGCTGGAAGGCACTTGATTCGCGGGAGGCGGGCGGACGAGCATACGTCGAGTCCGCGAGGCCTTGCACGGCGTGCATGGTCTAACTTCATATGAAAAACCGTCGGCATCATCCATATACGTACGTCAAAGGGAGACGCGGGGTCCAATCGATCGGTGGTTGGAAGGGGAAGGTCGAGACGGGTCATGCTGTTCACAGGTCGCTCCAGCAAGCAGTTGGCGCCTGCGTAGTCCAGCACCCCCAGCGCGGCATGTTGCACGGGGTCACTCGCGAGTTGTGGCGCTTGCGACAACAAGCTCAAGTCGAACAACCGACCCGCGACCCCAGGCATGAGCGGTAGCAGTTGCTGCAGGCCCACATGGCACTTGGTGGACACGAAGATCTAGCCACCGTACACGATTTGTCATTCAAGACATACAGGGAATACGATGAACGCACAGCACCTGCGACGCGGTCAGCGCCAGGAACTCGTTGCGCAGGATGAAGCCCCGGTTGTCGTCCATGCGGTCGAACGTGTCGTTGAGGTCCACCGTGGCTTTCACCACGCTTTCTTCGGCGATGCGCAATTTGGCTTGGGATTCTGGAGATGTGCCCGCGGCGCGACGAAGCGCGTCAAAGTCGAGCATCTATCCGCCGTACGTACGTACTAGTTCGAAGTACATTGACGCTGAGTAGGAAGGTGGGTACCTTTTGCTTGCGAAGTTGGACGTGCTTTTGGATGGTCGTGTTGTGTTGCTTCAACTTGGAGATCGGTTTGAGCACCTTTTCGGTCAACATGGTGCTGCTTGCGGCATGGACGGACTTCTGGAGGCCCCAGTGGATGCTCTCAAGGCACTCGGAGGCTTGGGCCAGCTGTCTACGTTATGTGCATTGGATGCGGCGTGGTTGATAAGTACATACCGCACTAAGTCTTCGGACTCCTTGTCGACCTTGCCTGATCGACGGAAGAAACATGGTGAAGGGATATGATCATCGTTGTCGAGGTTTGCCGTACCCTGGGCCAACTGGATGTTGAAAAACGCCTTAAACTCGTGAACAAGGGCTGATGATGCCTTCGCCATGGCATCAGCTTGCTTCACGTACTCTGCTGTTGATGCATGCAGTCGTTCAATGGCTGTACATTGTTGATTGAAGCTGTGGACGAATAGAATGAGGATGAACGGATGGGAGGGTGCATGTACCGCTGGGTCCGCGTGTCAAGCACAGGGTCAACGCATCCCGAGTCGTGCACACCCGTCGTCTGCAAGATCTCTTCCTTCAACCTAATCGTCTGGTGAGGAAAAGCATGGCGGACGGGCGACGGCAACGATACCTTCGTGAAGTATCCACCATCGATTGCAACTACGACAAATTAGCCAGAGCTGGGGTTTCATGATGATTCGACACAACACATATACCATGCACACACATGCATGCTCATATCCATACAGGAAGGCTTGCCATGTTGACGTACCCCCGATCGCATCCAGCTCGCCATCCTGTATCTTCGTTTCAAATCAACTTTTGCTATTTTTAATAGTAGTCCCATGCTACTAGTAGTAGCACCCTCAAAAAGCAATACTTTCCCGTAGTACACCTATAATAGTCTATAATAGTAGGTCCGTCTACTAGACAATTCGGGCCAGGTTTTTGGCCAATTACACGCTAGGAATTGTGTCATGGACATTTTTGCCGCAACCCCTTGTGGAGAAACAAGGCGGCATGGTAGGGTACGATGCCGTTGACGTGGCGACCTCGAGCCAGGTGTACTTGTGGATGGGGATCGTCGGGTCCGTCATCCACTTTGTCACGATCTCGTCATACCTGGTCTTCCCGCAGCTCAAAACGCAGCATCCGTCGGCGAACCTCATGGTGTGGCATGTGGCATGCAACTTCATGCTCACGATCGGGTTCGTCGGGCAACACTTCCTCCTGGTACGCAGGATACTTCGTGCTTGCAGTGATATGTGTGTATCATGGAATAGGGAGAGGATGGGATGTCCGACGAAGGCTGTGCTGCGTTGTCCGTTTACAACCAGGTATGGCAAGGCACGTGTGTGGTGCATGTTGACACATTTGTGGCGTAGTTTTTCATCCTAGGCAGTGGGTTGTGGTACATGATGCTGTCCTTGGATCTGCTCATTGCGCTGATCAATCCTTGGATGGGGTACGCCATCAAGACGTGGGCCTACCACACCATGTACGTCCAATGTCATTTCTCGCTCCAACACGAGTGTCATGCTTCGGGGTAGCACGTGGTCGATCAGCAGTTTGTCAGCGGCCAGCATCTACTCCCTGCACCTCTACGGCGTGAGCTCGCTCAACATTTGCTGGATCCGGCGCACACTGGACGCCCGCGAACCCAACGACGCCAACTGGATCTTCCTCTTCGGGCCGGTGCTGGCGGTCTGGTTCGTGTCGTTCGCGGTGCTTCTCTTCGCCACGTTTCGCTTCGCGCGGCGTCAAATGGACTCGACGTACCGGTCCAAGCGCCGCAGCCTGCTGCAGTACTTCCGGTACCTGATCATGTACGGCGCGTTCTGGGTCGTCTGTGGGGGGCTGTACTACAGCGCGTACTTGCGCTCGTTCAGCGGCCGATCTGCGCACCATATTGAACTGGCGTTCATGGTGGCTTTGGGGTCGTACCCGCTGCTCGTGGGCGTCGTGTGGGGCGTCAACACGGACCTACTCACGCACTTTCAAGGCGGCGACCCCGTGCTCGAGCCCAACGTCGGACTCACAGAGCACTTTAGCACGTCGCTTCGAAAGGACCTTATGAAGTACGAGAGAGAGAGAGAGAGTGTGTGTGTTGGAATCTATCGTCTCGATTGATTGGTTGCATGTCACCTTTGTCCTGTTCGTGTATGTCTTGCTATTATGAATATTCTTGATAGTTTTCGCAGGACGCATGCAATATAATATACTGTATCGATATGTATTTATATATATTTGTAGGTACACGACGGTGGGGATTATCCGCAGTCTGCGGGAACCGTCCGAGGACTCTCCCGTGCGCCGCACGGACAAGTCGCGGTCCCAGCCCCTGTCGGACCCCAACATCTCGCGGTCGCAGAGCATGAGCAGTGCATCCGCTCGGTCGGACGAGTTTGAAGACGGCGGCACCCACCTGTGGTACGCCGAGAAGAAGCGGCTGGCCACCACCGTGCGCCTCAACACATCCAAGCTGCAGGTGTACTACGACAAACTGGGGTTCACCGACTACGCCCCGCGGGTGTTTGCCAACCTCCGTGCCATCGCCGGCATCGATCCCGAGGCGTACGAGTCCAGTTTTGTGGGCACGTTGAGTGAAATTGCGTCCGAAGGCAAGTCCGGCATGCTGTTTTACTTCACCAGCGACCGCCGATACATCGTCAAGACCATGACCAAGGACGAGCACGCGTTCCTGCTGCGCATGCTCCCATCGTACCATGCGTACGTCCGGACACAGCCGTCGACGCTGCTGTGCCGGTTCCTCGGCTGCCACAGCATGCAGCTGCCCGTGGGATGGGACAAGATGTTCTTCGTTGTCATGGAGAACGTGCTGAGCACCCACCACGAGATCGACGACCGATACGACTTGAAGGGTCTGTTCGCGCCGGTGCTGCACCCCCCGCTGCGCGTGTTCCTCAAGGACGACCAGACGGCGCGACTGCTGAGTCCCCCCCAGACGGCGACCAAGCAGCTGTGGCACGACCACGAGTTTGTGGCTAGGGGGACCTACCTGAACGTCGCGTCCACCGCCCGCCTCGAGCTGCTCACGCAAATGACCAGCGACATTGGGTTTCTCCAAGAAATGGACATCATGGACTACAGCTGCATTGTCGGGATTCGAGAATTTGACGCCGAAACCGAATCCACGGTATCTTGATTGGTCGTCTTGGGCGTTGTACTCAATGAATGTTATACATAGGAGTTGCTGCCCAAGAATGCAATTGTGTCGGCCGATGCCAAGAAAGTGTACTACCTAGGTACACCATTCCCAGGAATACCTACGATCCAGAGCCAGTTGCGCACCGTTTCGTCGCATTGAATGGTTTGTTGTAGGGTTCATCGACATCTTGCAATCGTATGGCTTGCGTTGGAAGGTTCAGAACTTGGTCTTGTCCCTCGTGAGAGACAAGCGAACGATCACGGCGCTGCCCCCGCCCGAGTACGCGCTTCGATTCCTGAGCTTTCTCCACGCGCACCTCCTTCGGTCCAGTGCGGACGGCTCGGCGTCATTCAAGTCCATGACGGCCCGATCGTCGTTCAATTACGGCACATTGTAGGAGCATCTTTCTCGTAACTAAACATGCTTTGCGTCAAGAGGAGTGATTGGTGACCTACATATCTCCCCATGGCCTCAACCTGCACTTGTTCAATCTGGACGAAATGTCAGGGATGACGACAACGACTCGTACATGTAGTAGTTACTACGTAGTAGTAGTTAGTAGTTAGCGCAAGGCCCACATGTGTTTACAGTTAGACGAGCTTTTGTATCACGTGTCCAACGAAACAAAAGAGCCCATTTCGGAGTGGTCTGAGAAACGTTACGGTCGATTTTGTTTGTTTAGGACGAGAACGATTGCATTCCACGTGGGTTTAAAATCTACACACACGCTCCAACGCGCGCTTCTTGTCTTCGAGTTCCTTGACCGTGGCTTCGGTGTGGTCTTCCAACCAGTCGCGGGTTTCTCGCAGCAAATTTTCAGCGGCCGCTTCGCCTTTCTTGGTCGCCACTTCGAGGTACCGGTAGATGAACCCTTCCAACTCGTTGCGCGCTTCGATGCGCTTCAACAGCAAAGCGTCCGCCTTCTTGTACTTCTCCGCCTCGTCGACCATGCGGTCAATGTCTTCCTGGCTCAACCGGCCGCGGTTGTTGCTGATCGTGGTCTGGTTCTTGGCGCCGGTCTTCTTGTCCTTGCAGCTCACGTGCAAGATGCCGTTGGCGTCGATCTCAAACGTCACTTCCAATTTGGGCTCGCCGCGCTTGGCGCGCTCGATGCCCGTGATTTCAAACTCACCGAGCTTGTTGTTGTCCACCACCGACGCGCGCTCGCCTTCGTAGATGACGACCTTTTCCGTGGTCTGGAAGTCTTCTTCGGTCGTGTAGATGCGCGTCTTCTTGACCGGGATCGCCGTGTTGCGCTTGATCAGCACCGACATGACCTTGCCCACCAACTCAATGCCCAGAGACAAGGGCGTCACGTCCACCAGCAACAACGAGTTGGTCGCGTCGTTGCGGATGCCGCTCAGGATCGCGCCTTGCACGGCCGCGCCGTACGCCACGGCTTCATCGGGGTTGATGGACTTGCTCAGCTCCTTGCCGCCAAACAGACCCGACAGCATGTTTTGCACCTTGGGGATACGCGTGGACCCGCCCACGAGCACCAGTTCGGTGATTTGACCGGGCTCCATGTTGGCGTCTTGCAACACCTTCAACACGGTTTCTTCCGTGCGCTTGAAGCACTCGTCGTTGAGCGACTCAAACTTGGCGCGCGTCATGGTCGAGCTAAAGTCCACACCTTCGAAGAGCGAGTCCACTTCGATGGTGGCGCTGGTGGTCGTGGAAAGCATGCGCTTGGCAGACTCGCACGCCGTGCGCAGGCGGCGCATGGACCGGGCCGACGTCGTCGGGTCCAAGTTCTTGTTCTTGCGCTTGAACTCGGTGATCAAGTAGTCGACCATGTTCGAGTCAAAGTCTTCGCCACCCAAGTGCGTGTCACCGCCCGTGGACTTGACTTCGAAGATGCCGTTCTCAATCGACAAGATGGACACATCAAACGTGCCTCCGCCCAAGTCGAAGATCAAAATGTTCGACTTGCCTTCCGCGCCGGCGTTCGTGTCCAAGCCGTACGCGAGGGCGGCGGCGGTGGGCTCGTTGATGATGCGCTTCACGTCGAGGCCAGCGATGGCGCCGGCGTCCTTGGTGGATTGACGCTGCTGGTCGTTGAAATACGCAGGCACGGTCACCACGGCTTGCTTGATCTCTTGGCCGAGGTAGTTTTCCGCGGTTTCCTTCATGCGGGTCAGCACCATCGACGAGATTTCTTCGGGGGTGAAGCTCTTGGCTTCGCCGCGGAAAGACACTTCGATCAACGGCTTGTCACCTTCTCCCTTGGTAATCTTAAAGGGGAAGTGCGCGGCGTCCTTCTTCACGATGGGGTCGCTAAAGTTGCGGCCAATGATACGCTTGGCGTCGAACACCGTGTTGGTGGCGTTGGACGCGGCCTGAAGTTTAGCAGCTTCACCGATCAAGCGCTCGGTTTCGTTGAACGCCACCCACGAAGGGGTCGTGCGGTTGCCTTCGGCATTGGCAATGATTTCCACTTGGCCGTCCTTCCACACACCCACGCACGAGTAGGTGGTACCGAGATCGATCCCGATCACCTCCGAGAAACCACGCTCGGCGCGCTTGGCGCTTTCTTCGCGGTCGGCGCGGGCCTTGTTGATCTTTTCTTCGATCTCGAGGCGCTTCAACTTGCGCGTGGCGTCGTCCATATCCACACCACTCTGCTCTTCTTCGAGAACTTGGAGAGCTGCTTGCGCTTGGGTCAAACCGGCTTGGAGTTGCTTGTTGCCCTTTTCAAGGGACAATCCCTTCGTGTAGGCTGAGATGGCCTTTTCGTAGCTCTTGACGTAGTAGTACGCGGCACCGAGGCGAGCGTAACCCTTGCTCCACTTGGCATCGATCTCGATACACTTGTTGGCGTCTTGCAAAGCAGCCGCAGCATTGCCATTGTTCAGGTAAGCAGCCGATCGGTTGGAGAAGTAAGCGTGGTTGTGGGGTTCGTAAGCGATGGCCGTGGTGAATTCCTTGATGGCCGTGGCGAAATCGCCCGAGCTGTAGGCAGCATTGCCTCGGGTCTTGGCATCACCGCCTTGCTGCTTGCGCTCATCGGCGGAAAGGTTTGCATAGGAGTCAGACCCAGCTTTCTTGTTGGCGCGGCGGCGAGGAGGGGCCATCGTTCAGTTCACAATAATCGGAATTTGAATGAATGGCTCGTGCTAGGTTTACAGTCGAACAATTTTGATGTCATATCTTATTTTGATGGCTAGATAAAGAGACAGCTTGGCCGAGCGGTTAAGGCGATAGACTCGAAATCTATTGGGGAAACCCTCGTGAGTTCAAATCTCACAGCTGTCGATTGTTTTTCATGTTTTTGAATCACCTTCATGCTACTGTACTACTCTGGTCTGAAATGATAGTAGTGATGTTTTATCTTGATTAAAGTATACTGTAAAGTATACTGTGACATTGAAGAGAGTCAAGTCCTTTATGGAAGCATCCTTACTCAAATGCGGGAGCTTGTAATCGTTTGTATCCATAGTTTCAAGTGTCTTCTCCATCACCTTTTGCAAGGTAATACAGGGAACGACGGAATGCAACGCCTGCCGAAGATTTATTGGTGTAATGGTGGACAACATCCAATCACATTTGAATGAATAAATACAGCTTGATGATTGGGGGAATTAAAATACTTCCCGTTTCAATACAAAACAAATTCTCCACAAGCACAATTAAAAATGAGACGACGGGAGTATCCAATATCAACGAAGCTCCGAGCGTTGGGAATGCTGGAAACCATGTCGGACTACAAGGTGTCCGCAGCACTGGACGTTCCGCGACGCACGTTGCGCAATTGGATGTCCCAAAGACACGAGATTCTAGCATACGATGGTAACTTAAAGAATATGAAGCTTGAGCCTGGTGGAAGATACGAGGTCTTTCCAGACCCGCCAGGACTCATCGAGTTCATAAACCGTGTCCGTGACAACGAGCGCGCCCTCACGACAACGCATCTCGACTTGTCGATCAAGGCCAACCAGCGTGAGTGGTTGAACAACTACCTTGCCACCAAGCAAGAGTCGACGTCGTATGACTCTCTCCTCCGCCTGCTCCAGCACTTCTGCGATCGTCACGGCTTCTCCCGTCAGCGTCCCACCAAGAACAAGGTCAAGCAAGCCGATATTGCGGAGGTGCAGAGCGACTTCGCCGCGGAGTTCCACCGCGAGTACATTGCGTACGGCAAGGAGTGCGTGTACAACGTTGATGAAACTGGCATCTTATACGACATGCCTCGGTGGTCGAGACTATGTCTCCAAGCCATTTCTTTCCGCCTATGTGGACGCCAACTACGCTATGTGCCCTGACGCTCGTTGATGTGTCAGTGGATTTCTGATCCTGTTTTTTAACAACCTTATCTCTTGGTTGTCCAAGAAGCAAGACATTGTGACTCTGTCCACCACCGAGACCGAGTCTGTAGCTTTTGCCCTTTGCATTAAAGAAATGTTTATACATTCGGCAACTCGCTGTCGAACTACATCACACTAGTGATCAACCGATTTCGGTTCACGAGGACAATCAATCCGCCATCAGCATCGCTCAAAATACTGAGCATCATAGGCCACGTACCTTCGGGATGTCCTCGGGGAAGCAATCGAGGAGCCGTCAGTCGTGCTGCTGGACAACTTCGAGTCACATGTGTCGGGTGAGTCGTACAACATCATGTACGACTAGGTGCCCACCTGTATGCGTTGCCACCGGACGCGACGTCCGTGTATCAACCCCTTGACGTTGGGGTGATGGCGCCACGTGGTAGTCGACCGTTTGAGCTGACTTGTAGCAGCGATTCATAGATGGCGACACGCTCCTTGTGTTGAAAGTACTTAGTCATCGAGAGGAAGCGGCATGCGGTAGAGAGCTCGGTGGCGTAGCAGACGGCATCAATAGAGTCTTACGAATGTATCTTGTATTGACAACGACGGTCAAATTTGATAAATGAGCTCTCAGCGGGTATGTGTGTTTAGATTTTAGTTGCGACTTCGACTTTGACCAGCCATAATGTTTTGAGTGAAAACGATTTGGAACGCTCAAAACAGAGCCAATCGAAGCAGGGAGCTTGCGCCATTTAACCAACCAATCAGATGTACAGAATATGCAAATTTAGAAGAATACCGCCAATAAGAACTCAAACCCAACTATCATTTCAGACCAGAGTAGTAGTAGTGATATTGATATTACGCTGTAAAGTTAAAATCACTCCGCGGGCACTTAATGGCCTCGGCCGCGTATCATGATACTGTAGTAGTCCGGAGCGAGGGATGATGCCACATACTACACCATTTTTCGTTTAAGTTCAGGTTATTTCCGGTATATTCGTCCGACGCACAACTGATTCACGCCATGTGCGTTATGTTCGCCAAGCATTCAATATATTTCGTCCAGACCCTACGTCGTTGCATTATATTTCGACAAATGTACGGTATATACGTATAGGTTAGAATTTACCGTTGGAGATGCTCTGGTCACCCACTCGGGGGTGTTGGTTGTGTTTACAGCCGTTAGTACTGTAGAGTGTTTTCACGATCCGGATACTTATCCAAATCACGGGTCCTCTTCATTCGGATATCACCTATTTCGTGACGGTTTCGTCGGAAAGTATGACGGGACCCGGATTCGAACCGGGCCTTTGGGTGAAAAGACCGATGCTCTAACCAACTGAACTAATTGAACACCCTTAATCCATACTGTGCGTTTGGGCAAAACGAATCTTTCGTTTTCAAATACTGGTCGGATTTAGCTCATTCTTTTCTTAATCGCTTCGTCTTGAATTAAAGATGATTAATCCCCAGTTTTGAAGGCTAAATATTAATGGTGATAAACTTATGTGCCTTCGCGACATGGGGAATCCTAGCATTTGCTTGGGTCGGATTGGCACGTATTGAAAATAAAATAACGTTCGCTCGAAATTTTTAAAACTTGAAAAGAGAAAATCCACTACGGTAGTACTTGACTTTCAGTACTCCCGCTCGTATTTTTATAAGTACTATTTTTTATTTAAATATCGCTCTTCTGAGTATGATTTCCCCCCTTAAACGAAACGGGGTAAACTTGATAATTTTTGAAACTTTATATTATCCAACCATATCGGAAGGTGATGACTTTTTCAAAATTCGAACACTTGAATCGTTTGGCATTGAAATGGATGACATCATTTCCACTGTGAGAAACTGCTGGAGACGCACTGGCATACTCAGCTCTGACTTGGAGACGCCCAGCGCTTGAATGCATGTATATATGGTTGGTTCAGACAGCCTGCAAATACCTGTAAGAGTTAATTTACTGTGTGAATTGCATAATTTGCTCCGTTTCGTTTAAGGGTGGAGATCAGTATATTAATTTGCTCAGAATGTATGGCAGGAGCGAAATTTAAAACAACGATATCTATTTTAATATCCCGTTGTATTGATTATACAACCCCTCACCCGATGAACTGATTTCTCCTATATTCGTATATACCTTCAGATCTGAAAAGTGATACATGGGGGAAATGTTATGGAAGAATTAACCAATACATTCGTTTTGCCCAAACGCACGATAGTTTCATATAAAGCCCTAATGGTCTAGCGGTATGATTCCTGCTTCGGGTGCAGGAGGTCCCGGGTTCGATCCCCGGTTGGGGCCACTTTTATTTAACCTTCGTTCTCGGAACAAAATCTTATGTCAGGTCCAAGGCAACTTATTTCACAGGTTAGTATGGGAAATCAATCGTTTGATCAATACATTGAACGCAGCAGATCACATCGCAGACAGTGCTGTAATACAAGCGCACATTGTTTGTTACCAAGATGAGTAGTCGAAGCGACGAATTTACTGGCAAAAGTGGCCAAAGAGGTGTCCAATGGAGTGAATGTTGTTGTGGATGGCGTTTTGGATCGGGATCTGGTACGCCTCATCTGGTTTGGCCGGTGACTGCAAAAAGGGGGGGTGGTCTGCCAAGTACATCCAAACGGCGTGCAGCATCGACCGAATATCCATGGCTGACACGTGGGGGAAGAGCAGCGCGCTCGAATTCAACGGCTCCGGCACCCACCCAGTCCCTTCCACAATCGACATGACCTCAATGCTGACATGCAGTTCCCAGCTTGCATCGCCGTTTGCTTGTTTCTGAAATCGCCGCGCGTGCCAGAAATTGACCAGGACCACCAGCACTGCTTTCAACAACGGCAAGCACCGCGCTGCTACTTGGGGCGAGCTGTACAGCACTGCCGCTTTGGTCAGTGGAATAAAGCACGGATAGCGATACACCCACTGCTCCATGCGCAGGTCAATGTCAAAGTTGGATCGCTCTGGCAGCACCTCCTACAAGTCGACAATATAACGTTACTACGTGAAGCTCAATGCGTGATAACACATACCCTGTAGTGGTCATCTGGGGGAATGAACATGGCCACGGGGAGCGTCCGCTCGAGCCACGCGTCGACCAGCACATCGGCGCTGGCAAACGACGCCGGAAATGAAGTCAAGTTCAAGGCGTTGTAGAGCAACTCCTGGACGTGCTCGCAGCAAGAAACCGCCCGCTGCATGTCCCGAGCTCGCGTGGCCAGCAAATGCGACTCGAATTGGGACGGCGCAACCACACTCGATAGGCGCATCGTCTGCAGCTGCGAAAACACGTCGACTTGGTTCTCGTCCGACGTTTCTTGTTGAACAGACTTTGGAAACGGACTGTACGGCCGCAAGCAGTTGGTCGCACACAGATGGCGAGCCACAGACGCCGGCTTCTTGCCTCGGAAAAAGTTCATTTCCTGGGGCACGTCGTGCGGCACAGTTGTCGGCGCATCAGCCGACACGACGGCATCCACCACGAGATTGACAAATGTCGACGTCACGGACGCAGGGTATAGCAGCACGCCGCCCGATTCTCGCATGATCGTGCTCAGTACTTTCTTGACAAGCTCAAGGCGCGGCACGTCGTCAAAGAGGCTAAAGAACAGACGCAAGAGGTCGTGGAGGCATCGGTACTGCCACAGCGGATCTTCGAGGGTCGGGTACGGGACGTCTTGCATCAGTTGGAGCGCCGCGAGCGAAATCTCGGCGTCCGACGACGCTGCCAAGGTCAGAAACAGCTGCCAGTGGGACACGCCGTGAGCTTGTTTCCACGCCGCCAACGACGACGTCCACCTGTCCTGGCCTTGGTGGATGATTTGGAGCATCAATGCCAGCACCCGCCGCTTTTTCTGAGGCGCGACGGCGGCGGACGTGAGGTCCGCGGCAAGGAGGTCCAAGCACACCCCCGTCGAAGATGGAAGCGCGTTCACGTCCAACGACGTAGGGCCAAGGTCGTGCAGTCTTATAAACGCTTGGCAAACCTACAGAGTCCCCATCAATAGATTATGTGATTGGAAGATATAAGTACGCTGTGCGTCCGATCCAACGTGCGGTGGGCGTTGGTTGTGATGGCCGCTACGTATGGCGCCAGCACGCTGGACGACTTGACATGTTGGTGAATGTACGGGAGTGCGTCGACCAGACGATCGACGAACGCATCGCACTTGGTCGTGTGGAGCCACGCCGCGACGGCACGACCGACGGCATCGTGGCCCGACAGGTCGTCCAGCAGCGGAAGCAAATGCACCGGAGTTTCACTCAGCACGGCGCTGTGCAGCTGGAGGACATCGAGCAGCTTGGTTTGGACATCGGCGCCACAAGTCTGCATGAGCGCCGACACGCGGGGAATCGTCAGCAGCGTCGTAAACTTGGCATCGCACGCTCGAGTCACGTTGGCTCCACGACCGAGCAGATTCAGCAGTCGGCTCACAGTCGTCGGCGCGTTCTCGGCAGCGATTGCCTTGTCCAGCACATCGACCACGCCCTTGGTCACATGCCATGGATACTCCACCGCCAAGTACGAGTCCAAGTTGGTGAAAACCACCGCGTGACTACGCTCCCATTCCCCTGTGCATGCATACATAAGTGTGTGTGTAGTGATGGAGGTGGTTGGAGGGGTAGTACCTGTCACGAGGTGGGTAAGCGAGTACGCCGTGAGGTCCTTCGGCGCCACGCGACCCGCGAACGCAAGCAGCCACGTCCAATTTGCACCTTCGTTCAAGACGATCCATTCCACGAGGCAGTCCATACACAGCTTGAACGTGTCGCCCACGTCGATGCATGCGAGTTTGACACACTTGCGCAGCACGTTCAACAACAACGCCGACAACGGATGCGATTCGCCCCGTCCAAGCATGGTTTGAAGATGGGTCACGTCGTCGCTGGAGGCGGGTGATTGGTCAGAGGCAGCTGCGAGGGGGGCATGCTCGTGGACGTCGGCGAGACAGGACAATGTGACGCGGACGACATCGACGACAACGAGAGACGACACCCAGTCGGAATTCAAGGGCAGTTCGATTTCCACCACACACTTTGAAACTGCCTCGAGATCTGCGTTTGATGCATCAACACACACAACACATCATGCATGATCTGGGAGTGATACCTGGGGATGCGACAGCAGGCTCGGTCATGAGTCTTGGCTTCTTGGCTCGACTCTTCTTGGACTTTGTCTTCACATGCAAGTACTTCTACAACTCCATGAGACTCTCCCTTCATTATTTCCTCATTACCTTGATCGCAAGCTGGAACGAGCCACGAAGGTCACCTGCAGCCGCGGAAGCGTCCGACGATGGCATGGTCTCGGATCGTGATGTATACCACTCGCAAAGGTACAGGATGGTCGCTAAACGGTACTTAATCGAAATGTTCGAAACTTTTCACGAGCCAATCAAAATGCGGTGTGAAAAGGCACAAGATTTTGGAAGGCACAAGTGGTTGCGATGTCGGTTGCAACAGCTTACAGGTGAGTGCCGCCGCCTGCATCGAAGGGTATGGACCTACTTTCCCTGACGAAAGGACGTAGAACATTGGGCCTAGCTCCGGGTGCCAGCAGCGATGAAGTGCGTGTGGCATACAAGCGCTTGGCATTGCAGTACCATCCAGACAAAAACCGAGCTGGCGTCGACACGACCGAAGTGTTCCAGCGCATCAGTGCTGCGTACAAGCACATATCTGACACTTCACAGAATCAACATGAAGGAGGGGGCAGCATGGATGATGGTGATTTCGACGGAACAGTGCCGTTTGACGAGTTCATGCAAATGTTTGAAGCCATGTTCCAAAACCCATCGATGAGTGCCTTCCGAACCAAGAAGAAGGCAAAGGGCAAGCGACCAGGGATGCGGCGGCGAGGCGGTGGACGCCCAAGGATGGACTTTGACGACATTCTCTTCGCCGGAATGTCTGCGTTTGGCGGCATGTACGTGCGTGGCATAGCGTCGTCCGTGATTCGATCGGGCTTTGTGTAGGCAAGACAGTCAGAGCTTCTTCGATGCCATGCCTGGCGAATCGTTTGGTAACTGCCACGTGTCCAGCGTTTCAGTACTCATGTTGTCGTATAGACGACAACGATGACGACGAATTGAGCGCACTCTTTGAAGAGATGGCCCGCATGCAACGCAGGTACCACCTACCATCAACACCTACACCCTCCTCCCTCACACATGACGTCTAGGCCAACAAAGTCCAAATTCCGATCTTCGAGTAGTAGTACTCTACTTCTGGATGTAGAAGACTCTAGTTTCTCATATCTCAGACCGAGTAGGTCGCAGGAAGGCTGGGTATACGCACAAGGCAGCCCAGACGGCAACAACAACCACAACCAACGAGTCGGATGAGAGCGGCGATGCGACCGACGACGCTCCGTCCACTTCGCCAACAGCAGCAATTCAAATCGGAGACAAAGTGGTGGTGGCTATGTCTAGGCAGGGCACGGTGGCTTTTGTGGGGAACGTCCACTACTGCAAAGGTGACATGGTTGGCATCGTGTTTGACGAAGCTGTGGGCAAGAACAACGGCACGATCAAAGGCGTCGAGTACTTTACCTGTGCTCCGCAACACGGACTCATGGTGCAACTGTGCGACGTCGTTCGAGTATAATGGGTTTTTCCTTTATTTATTGCGATTGTTCGAGTAGTATACGCCTTGTAACAAAGCCATAAAGTCGCTAAAGTCGAGCTCTTTCTTGCCATGTCGGTCTTTGGCTTGGTATATTTTTCGGATTTCATCCATGGACAGCGCCGGGGGGTCGTAACTGTTGTCCTGCTTGCACTGCACAGCGTCCAGCACTTCGTCCAAGCTCACGGTTCCGCTGTGATCCCGATCAAACACTTCAAATATGGCGTGCATGTCTGCGATCTGCTCGGGCGTCAGCGGCGCGTCGGTTGCCAACATGGCCGGCGCGCGCCCGAGCTTCTCGAGCGTGAGCATGTCCTTAATGTCGGTGGCGCTAGCGTACAAAAAGCAGATCTTGAGCAGATCCCCGAGCGAGACTTCGCCGGTGCCGTCCGAGTCGAGGCTTCGAAACATGGTCGACATGTCTGTGATGCCCAGCTTCTCAAAGTACTGCTGGCACCCCATGAGCTCGCTTTCGCTCACGGTGCCCGAGCAGTCGACGTCGAGGGACCAGAAGAGGCGGATGATCACCATCACTTCCTTGATCGAGTACATGCCAAAACGGGGCTGGAGGTTGACCACAGTTGCTGCTTCGTGACTCGTGGGCATCATCATCATGGACGTATGCCGCAGCACACTCCCAATCTTGGCCGACGCGTGGCGCTTCTTTTGCGCCAAATACCGACTCGCTCGTTTTTGTTTCTCTACAAGTTGCTGCGTTGTGCGCAGGTGGTTGGCCTCCCGCTTGGTCCCTCGGGTGGCATGGGGGGCCACCAGTTGGTCGTGTCTAGAATAACGACGCCATGGTTAGCGATTTTCCCATATCTGCGACAAGGTACGCACTTGATCTGCGTCGCCGCCATCCGCTGCCGTAGCTCCTGTTGTTGGTTGCACAAGAATACCATACCCGTCTTGTCCCCACCATCCTCGCTCTCAGCACACGTCGTGGCACACAAGATAATGTCGTTGATTTTCTTGAGCTTGCCCGTCGACGCGGACGGCGACACGCCAGCCGCCGCTGGAGGATCGTCATCCAAGTGAAGAAGCGCCGACATGGACTTCGTGGATTTCGGAACCTTCCCTGCATCTCGCGCGGACGCGCCAGGCGGGTGGCGGTGCTTGGACATGCAAGGCGGCAAGCAGTGGGAGGTCGCCTTTAGCGCCGGCGCCGTGTTGGGTCGTTGTGTGAACACCGAATGATTCATCGTCACAACGTCCGCCGCGCCGAGCTTTTCCCTTAGAAACGGCGACGGGTGGACGTCCACGTCTCTCAGTTTGCCGCAGCGAACGCGCGACGACTTGTGGCTCTTGTCGTGCTGAATGCCCATGTAATTCACATACATTCTCGTCGAGGTTTGGACCAAATTCTCGTGGTTCTGGTGCATCTCCAGTCGCGCATGCAACGACTGGACGCCCGACTTCAACTCGACTTTGGTGTCCATGTCGATCGTGTCTTCGCTGTTTGGCGAGTCGTCCGTCGCTGGGCTCGCACTGCGTGCCATCGCGCGGTGTGCTATCAACGGCCCCACTTGCACCAAACTCAATTGTCTACACTTCCAATGCAGATTGATTGGCATGCCAATGTAGACAGCGGGGACGCACCGTCCGTTGGCGTGGGCGGCGGCAGGGTCCATCCGCTTTCGACTTTTGTGCGGCGGCGGCGGGGCGTGCTGCAGTCGGGTGTTGTCGTCCATCAAGTCTTGGAGCACGGGGTTGATGGCATGGCCCGCGACGGGCCGGCGGGACTTGCGGCGCTGGATGTCTTGCAGCTTCCTCTCGTCGGGCGACAGGTCCATCTTTTTCATGAGCTCTTCGACCACGTCCCGCCGCTCACGCTCACGTTTTTGGTTTTCTTTGGCAAACTTCCACGGTGGCTGGGCCACGACGATGTTGTGCTCGAAATTCGTCAACGAACCCAAGTTCGTGCCTTTCCAATCCCATAAGAAGATGGTTGCGTCGAATGAAGTCGAGAGAATCAGGTTCGGGTGCTCGCAGAGTCTACCAAGCAACAAACAGTATAAGGTCATTGCGTTCTTGGCAACGTTCATCACAGCAGGCATACTGGATGCTGTGGATCGAGTCCGTGTGTGCGACCCACGAGTACATGCGACGGATGTCACAGGGCTGGCAAGAGGGGGGCTGGGTGGTTCGTGCCGATGTCGTGCGAGGGTGGGGGCGACTTGACGTGAGGAACGTTTTGGTTTTATCGGGTTCATACACTCGGTGAAATTTGCCTCGGGAATGATACCCCCGTCTCAAGCTCTTTAGCTGGGTGTCTGGGATGGCCTATACGTGACTTAGCCATGTCGATCTCTCTCTCTCTTCGGGAATACATGCATTGGAAGTAGTAGTACGTACTGCCAACTGCAGTCTCCCTAGCATGTCGTTGAGGCTCCAAATAGAAATCACGCCGCGCTCGTCCCCAGTGACCAGCATGTGTGTGCCAGCGTCGTCGTCGTAGTGACAATTCAGCGTCGTCACCACGCTGCACTCCTCTACCCCGAGTGTCAACTAGACAGTGTATAGCAGTCTGCATACCGCTGGCCTCGCCTTGTGTTGCTGCCACGTGGGCATTGGCGAGGCAGTGCAAGACGCCGCCGTCCGGACGAGAGCTCTGGGACGACGCCGTGGGGAAGAACAAGACGTTCCCCGCGTTGTCTGCCGCCACCAAGACCGGATACGGATCCCAGAATGCGACCACATGGAGCCCCAACGACGTCGGGTGCGTACACACACAGCGCAACTGCAGCGTCTCAAAGTCCCACAAGTGGACGGCGGCGTCGGACGCGACCGTCGCGACGAGCGACGCGTTGTAGCTAAAGCTAGACGTTTCAACCGGGACGTTTGTGAGCGACCGCAGCAAGTCGCACTCGCCGATGGTGCTATCGTCAAACACGTAGATGCCCCCAGTGCCGTACTCGTCGTCGTCGCGGTCTCGTGTGGACGGAAACGTGCTCACGACGATCAGCTTGTTGATGGAATCGTACTGGATAGCCGCGATGCGACCTACACACATATACCAGTCGATGGTCTCTCCTACTGTGTGTCTGGTGGACAAGGTACCAATGTTGCCCGTAGATTTCCGAACGCGGGCGAGGTTGGTGCAGTTGTACACTTCGACTTGTCCATCCTCCGTGGCCACAATGAGCTTTCTATTGAGTGCATCTTGACAGCACAGCAAGAACTGACTCTTTGTAAGCCCTGCACCACCACCACCACCCGCATCAACTACCCACCCAAAACGCACGAACTGTACCTGTAAACTCTTCCAAGAGGGCGCCCGTGGTGCCATCCCACAAGTTGACGCATGTTTCCGTGACGCCAATGAACAGATTGCTTCCGTGGTGGTAGAACGCCCGAAGGGGGATTTCGTCGTGCTTTTGGATCTTGATGCTTTCAAACATGTGCAGCACGCTGCTGCCTGCGACGATGTCTCGTCGAGGGGACAGCGTCACAAACGACCGCGGACAGAACCGCGTGACGTTGGAGATGGTTTCCAGAAGCTGCGCCGAGGACCCGTTGAGGCGGTGGATGTTCCACACTTTGAAGTGCCCGTCCACGTCGGCGGTCACGGCTCGCTCCGTGTGAAAGCGGGCGAGTTGGATGCCCACGAGCGGCGCACGGTGGCCGCTGAGGGTCATCACTACCTGCTTGGACGAGACATCCCATCCGAACGCATCAAAGTCGAAGCCGGCTGTGAGCAGCATGTCGTTCACAGACGAAAAGACCATCTGCCGGACGCCGTGCGTGTGCCCCACGAGATGGCCGCGGGACCGGAAGTCCTGGATGTCCCACATGTAAATGTGCCGCTTGATGTCGCATGTGAGGATGACATCGTACTCACGTATCGGAAGCACATCCAGGACCACATCGTGGTGCGCTGCCAGCGTCTTGACCAGACACACCTTGTCCGCCGCGACCCGCCAAAGCGACACCACGTGATTGTTGCCCGTGGTCGCGAGCACACTGGCGCCGCCACACCACCGCAGCATCGTCTGCGACACGGTTGTCTGCGTCTCCATCGCACACGAGTAATGGTCCACGTCGTAGAACGCCAGCGTCAAGTTGGACGTGGCGATCACGAGCAGTTTGCACTGCGTGATAAACTCGGCGTCCTGCACCAACAGATCGGCGTCGGTCGTGAACGCTGTCTGCCGCGAAAAGTCGTCGAGGTCTGCGACTTGCGCGCTCGGGAGGTTGACAGACGTGGCAAACACTTGGTGGAACTGCTTGAAGTCGGAGGTGTAGATCTTGACGCTGTTGGCCTTGGTTTCCACCACCAGCGCTCGCTTGAGCACCGGGCACCACTTGATCTTCTCGATGCCGCTGCCCTCGGTCGTCCTGTCCACGAACTCCTTGTTCTTGATGTACTGGTACTTGAGCGGCGCCACCTTGACCCGCGTGGCCACCATCCCTGCGTCCACACAGTACGACGTGAACTCGCTCAGCTCGAGCGTGCCGTCGCCGTTGATGTCGATGTCGTTGAACAAGTCGATGAGGCCACTGATCGTGTCGTACGCGTCAGCGCCAGATTTGGCCTTGGGAAGGCCCTTCAGCATGATCTCGACAAAGTCGGCCAGCGGCAGTCCGTCCTGACCCAACATCTGCTCCCGGGCGTGGAACTCGTCCGAGATGGCTTTGAATGCCTGGCCCCCCTTGAGTCGCATCATCAGATCCATCGCCACCGACGGGAAGTGACAGTTACCTACGCTGTCGAAACCGCCGCCGGTTACGATTCTCGTAAGCCTTAAATGGCGTACTGTACGCGTACATATATATGGGCATGCAAGAAGTGACGCCCAAGTGCATTGCACCAACTGCAGGAACACGAGCCATCCAGCGATCGGGTGGAGGGCGTTGGACACCGTGTCCAACGATCGAGTGTCTATCCATTTCAAGCGAAAGCTACGCTTCCGATGAGATCGACATGCGGGGCTGGAGCTACAGGACGACCATGTTACCGGATACGGCGGTTCTGGTGACGTAGTCTTCCAGTTGAGGGAGTAAAGACATAACGTTCCTTTAATTCAACTGTACCGCTCATGTTGATCGCGCCTCTCTACTACCTCTAGATGACACAGCCGTGGTCATGCTGCAATCGAGACCACCAGAGACAGCGGGTTTTCGTATGACGCCCCGCGCGGGCATTCAATGTCTTCCCCTTGCAGCGGCCGTCGACGAGGGAGATGTGTTTCTTCCGTACTAGTACGCGTCGTCGGTTGCAAAACGTTACTATTAATAGGTCGGCAATCTCGCGAAATGTCGCAAGTTGAAGTTATAACCTGTTGCCCTTCTGCTCCGCTGCTGCTTCGTTTGCTGTTGTGTCCTCATCTTCCAGCGTTTGTCGCGAGACTCCCATCTTCTGCGACTTCATAAGAGACGGGTCAGTCCAAGCATGGTTGACCTCCATTCTTATGGGCTGACAGCCTACTACTATAGCAACATGCATGTTCTGTGAAATTCGCTAGTTTTTGATTGGGCAATAATACTCAAATGCCTAGTTTGGATTGGTGATAATTATAAAATGGCGACGACGGATTGGTCACTTTCTGAGGGCCAACCATTCGCCCTTGAGAACGAAGCGACCGAAGACACTTCCCATTCAAGAATCCAATCAAGATGAGCCGAAAAGGAACGAAGATGGGACTCGGTGAGTTTCTCACCGAGAACAACAGCAACGTGCGCGCTGCGCCTATCAACGCAGGTGGTCTGGAGCACCTTCCCCGCGGACCTCGTGAACGTACCGACGATGACAACGGCGGCTTCCGCGGAGGTCGCGGTGGTGGAAGGGACGACCGCCGCGAGCGTGAACCCATGCGTGCCGACGGATCTGACCGATGGCGCGGAGACCGTGAACAACCTCGTGGTGGAGGAGGCTACCAAGACGACCGACCTCGACGAGACGAACGTGCCTTCGAAGAACGTCCTTCCCACATGCGCTTGAACTTGACTCGCCGTGGCGAAGAATCCGCGCCCCCTGCCTCTGGCGGATTCCGCTCGTCGGATCGATTTGCCTCGGCATCTGACGATAAATTTTCTCGCGCGTTCAGCAGCCGAGGTGGTGGCGACGACCGTCGCGAACCTAGCCGCTTTGGTGACCGTGACGGCGGGCGCTTCAACGACGGCCCTCGTTTCGGTGACCGCGACGGTGGCCGCTTCGGCGATCGTGATGGTGGCCGTTTCGGCGATCGTGATGGTGGTGCCCCTCGCTACAACGACCGTGACGGTGGTCGTCCTCGTTTCGGAGACCGCGAAGGCGGCGGACGCTTCAACGACGGCCCTCGTTTCGGTGACCGCGACGGTGGTCGGTTCAACAACGACGGTCCTCGCTACAACGACCGCGATGGCGGACGCTATGGCAGCGACCGTCGCTACGACGACGATCGATCGGCCAGTCGCGTGACGTCGGCGTTTGAGCGCCAGACACTGGACGACCAGCCGGATCCGGCCGAAGTGGCTCGGTTGAAGAAGGAAGAAGAAAAGGCGGCTCGGGACGCGGAGAAGAAGCGCAAGGAGGCGGAGAAGAAGGAGGCCAAGCGCTTGGCGGAGGAAGCGGCGGTGGTCGCTGCCGAGGAGAAGAAGGCGGCGCTTGCGGCGGCGGCGGACAAGGCTGCCAAGGACCGAAGCGTCGTGCAGACGGTGCTGGCGACCGGCAAGAAGGGCAAGGAGCTCGCCAAGGCCGCCAAGACCACGCTCAAGGGCGTGACAGCCGCCGTGGTGCTGGCCGAAGTGGTGGAACACAACAAGGAGTCGGCGATCACGAGCTCCAAGTGGCTCACTCCGGACGAGTACGGATCGCTCCTCGAAGTGACGGTGGGCGCGGCGCCTGCCAAGGAGCAGCTCCAGGCGCTGTACGCGCTGCAGCTGTTCATGCACGAGCACCGCGGCCGCGAAGGCAACCGCACCAAGGGCATGATGGAGCTGGCGTTCAAGGCGCTGTACGCGTTTGACATTGTCTCGGACGAGGCGTTCATCGAGTACAAGTATGACACGGAGGACTCGACGGCCGGCAAAATGCAAGCGATCATCGAAACGTCCGAGTGGTTAAGCTGGTTGGAATCGTACGAAGCCAGCGACGACGACGAAGAAGAAGAGGACGAATAGACAGCAAACATATTAGACATATATAACACGAGTACGTTAGTAGTTTTTCGATTAACTAACGGGCAAGCCCAATTGAGTCCACAAGGCGGCGGGAAACTGAGCGATGCAGTACTCGCGCATGTACACTTCGGTCGCTTGGAGCGTTTCGCGGAACTGGTCGAAGTCGGCCGATGATTTCAAGATGAGCGCGCCGTCGGCCACGGGTTTCAAGTCGTCAAAGCCGAGTTCGCTCGAGAATTCATCTTGGGCCACGGCCACTTCGACGCTGGCGGGGGTCCACGACGTAATCTGCCAGATCATGACGTTATCATGACGTTATCATGATTGCATGTACATACCTCCCATTGTTGAAAGTGCGCAATCACCTAGAGTACGTACAGTAGTAGGTGGTTAGTAGATGCCCAACTAATCGTCGAGTGTACCTCGTAGTACCCCGCAGGATTGTCCTCGTACAAGGAACCCGTGGGCAGCTTGAACGTGACGGGAGCGCTGGAAGCGTAAAACACCAAGTTGGCCGGCTCGCCCTCAATGCTCTGCGCCATTTCGCGGAAACAACGGACGTGTTGGAAGACGGAGCGCAGCGTGGTGTGGATGGCCCGGACGAGGTCCGAGTTGTCGTACCCGACGAAGTTCAACACGACGACCCCTGCCACCACGACAGCAGTCGCATCAACACGACATGACTCACGATAGTACATGATATGGCTCGTACCTCTGGGTTTGAGCCACGATTCCTTGAGCTGCCACATGGTCGCGTCCGTGTAGAAGGGCACGACGTTGTACCCAGTGTACACGTCCACGATGACCAGGTCGTACGACGGCTTGGGAGGGACGTTGGAACTTAGGTAGACGAGGCCGTCCATCACGACCGTCTTGCCGTTCGGGCATGGAGATGCTTTGTCGCGGCTCTTTTGCTGTGGCTGCGGCACCACGCAGTTCTCGTATCCAAAATGCTCTTCCGCTAGCTTCACGACCCCGCCGCTGATTTCCACCACGTCCGTGGGGACGCCATGTTCACGTAAGAACGTAGGGACGGTCCCGACCCCCAATCCGATTTGCATCGCTCTCGCCAACGGCCGATCCAAGTATCGCGATGCTTGCATGATGGCAAAGCCAGGAAAGATGGCTTGGTCGCTGTATTCTGGGTCTTCGAACTGCCCGCCAATGATGGATTGGTCCGACAAGAGGAACCGCAATGCGATACTCCCCCCGTCAAACGAGACCTCGGAGGTAACCACGCTCAGCTTGGACTCCCCTTCTACGACAGTTTCCAGAACAGAATACGTCGACGACGTGCCAGCCTTCGCCTCATGCATTCCAGCCGACAGGATGGCGGCGGCGGCCATCGCTGTCCACAAGCTCGCAAACACACCCATCTCAAATACTACCGGTAGTGCTTCCACCAGCACCCCAATGTAAAATCCAGTCGAGATAAATCCGTGGAGTAACATTACTTTTATTAATAGTCCACCTTTCTTAACTGTAAATAATTAAGGCTTTTCTCTCACTATTTGTAGCAATTCCTCCCCAATTTTTGATAATATAAAGATATTTGACCAAAGTTCCAATATCTTTATTTGAATCGAAACTGGGGGTACCATTCCGCCATGGTTTCTTCGAGTTCGGCAAATGCTTCGTCCAAGTCGTTGTTCACGAGCACCTTGTCGAAATGGCCTTGGGCTGCAAAGTCCATCTCGGCTTTGGCGTTGGCCAGGCGCAGCGTCACCTTTTCTTCGGCCTCGGTGCCACTACATCACCATTGTATCTTCATGAATGACACTGACTGGAGCCTACCGCCCACGCAACCGCTTCTCCAGGTCCGACATGGACGGCGGCGCGATGAACAGAAACTTCATCTTCGACGAGGATTTCTTCACTTGCTGGACGCCTACGTTTTTGACGATCTTACATATATCTATGCATGTTGTGTGTGTGTGGCACCTTGAATGTCGATGTCGAGGATGCAAATCTTCTCTTGGGTTTGGACCTACCATGAAAGGTGAGTTGGCATGGACCGTGCACCGCTAAGGACGGGTGTACGTACCTCTTCCACCGCTCGTACGCTCGTGCCGTAGCCGTTGCCATGCACATAGGCGAATTCGAGAAACGCATTACTTTGCACGTGGCTTTCAAACTCGTCCGCCGTGACGAAGTTGTACGCGACGCCATCGACTTCCCCTAAGAAACGCATGGGATAAGGATGCTGCTGAATAGGTGACAACACCACTTGCACCTTTGCGTGGATCACGGGTGGTGTGGCTGACCGAGAACCCAAATTGAGTCGGGTATTTCCCCAGGAGGCGAGTGATCAGCGTTCCCTTTCCGACGCCCGACGGACCAGTCACGACCAACGGGTCCGGCTACACTTGTACATTGAGCTCACATACACACCCCTCTTCCATCCGCGGACGCTGGGTTGCCGTACCGATATCTTGATGGGTTTTAACGCGTCGAAGTGATCTTTGGCGAAGCCTAGCACATCGCTTGGCTTCTCAATGAGGACGGCAGACATGAACGAGCTCAGGAGGGTCTTCAGCTCCGGATGCCCATCCAAGTACGCATTGTGGTCATGCTTGATCTCCTCCTTGCGCTCATTCAGGATGGACAGCTCTTCAAACGTGAGACTCTGAACACCCTTGTCCATCGCGGCCGCTCGTCAGATTTGCGAAACGGCACGGCCGGATACTTGAAAACATGTCCGGATAATACCTTACTTTGTATTGATACTTTTTAGGAAAATATGCCGTAATAACGAAAGAATTGGACCAACAGAAGTTACGGTTCAAAATTTCGATTGGTGAAAAATTGATCGAGAAATAGAATTTACTTCTAAACCAACCAGCCTTTTTGTATGAAAATATATGGAGCCAGCCACATCTTGGCCGAAAAGGAGCATCAAGTATATCTTGGTCTTTGTATACAGCACTTATCCGTATGAACGTTTCCATTATATCCGGATTATTTCGGACGTTTAACCTAATTACCACATAAAAAACGTAAGGAATAATGATTTAACGTCAACATTACGTGGGTTTAACTGAAAAAAACGAGGCGTTTAAACTAAAACGTCTCCTCCCAATGCATGCACCATATTAATAGTTAGACACTCTCACAAATAATTTTGTTTTGCTGTAACGTTATCTTATATATTGCATAAGCCAATATTGTATCAATTTATAAAGGTAAATAATTTTCGAAGGTTTTCATCGCGCGATATGCACTTACTTGTTGGCGCCAAATGGACTAAGCCTTGTCATCACTTATTTATTTATCCCTTTCCGTCATTTATATCTTGAAAACTACGGGATGGGAACGTAGTCGTCTGCGTTGGGCTCGTTCTTTAAGTTGGCGTCGTCGTGCTTTTCATCAGGATAGACGTTGCAAAAGATGTGTGACAAGTGGCGCAGGACCCCTGGGATGCGGTACTTGGTGGCCTATCAGTAGATTTCGTAAGTCCACATTTATCAAGGGATAGATGATTCATTTACAGTGCCCAGAAACCGCATCAGCCTCGCCCGTGATACCACTCCCACCAGTCGACCCGCTTGCGTCACGTACCTACAGTACAATAAGGGATTAAGATCATATATATATATATATATATAAATATTTGATAGTCATGTCTCTTACGCATTGTTGAGCTTCAGCATGCGAAATACAGCGTCCACGCGTTGCATGGTCGTCATTTCCACCACTTGAAACGGACTCGGGTTCATCAGCACCTACAAATGCGATGAATATATATATATTAATATTATATATATCGAGGAGCTAAAGGGTACCGTGAGTTTGGTCCTCGTGCATTCGGCATTGTCGTCCAAGGACAAGATATGCCCCCCGCGACGATATGCAAATTGAATGCGCCAGTCCATGAGGCTCTTTTGCGCCTGCTTTCCGTCCTATTAAATAAATAAATATATATTTATCCAAATATATTTCAGTAAATAACGTACTTGGGCAAGGGCTTCCGATTTGAGCTTGCAGTAATCTATCGCTTCCTTCAGGCGACTGCGGGTCACGGCACCAATCAAGTGCATGAACTCCGTGTTGTCCTACACACCATCAAATTAGGATATCACGAATATATATTTATATATTTGCGTCTATATATATATCTATCTAACTCACCACGATGGGAAACACCGGCTCCTGCGACGACGTGAGCATGTCTTGTGCCTTTCGGTACGACACGTCGGCGCTTAAAAAGTCGATTTTGTCCACCGTCTAAGTACATAAAAAATATATTATCCCAATGTTCATATATATTTATATTCGAACCCAAAACGACCCATACCTTCATAACTTCCCACGTTGGAATATCATATGCAGCTTTGGGCAGCTTTAACAACCGCGGCAAACGAGCGGTCGAAATCAACACGTCGTACCTACAAGCATGATTATATATATATAAATATATAAAAATAATATTTATTTCTAGAGGCGACGTACACATTCTCGACAAATCGCCCTCCCGTGAAGTACGCTGCTAAAATCGAGATGGACACTGGGATTGTAAGGTATCTACTCAAACACAACCCATATAAAGTTAGTGCTCCATATAAACACACACATATATATATATATACCCGTTGTGGCTGATCTCCATGATAATGACGGCAGTGGAGATGGCGCGCGTGACCCCCGCCGAGAAGGCCGCCGCGCCGATGATGGCAAACTCGTATGGTTCAAATTTGGTCGGGACGAACTGCGTGACCACGATAGCCTCGCCCACGAGCCGTCCAAAGATCCCACCAATCACAAACGTCGGCGTAAAGATGCCTGCGGGCAGGGGTACGACCACACACACTAATTCGGGGGTTAGCTATATATATATATATATATAGACGAGTACGGTACCGATGGTCAAAAAGTACTTGAGAGGCAGAAACGTGAGCAGCGACCGCGCCAGCAACGCCCCGTCTTCCCTCGTCGGTGATTGCGTAAACAATGTGTCAATGATCTTTTGCGGAGAGCCTATTCGTATATTAATATTTAAAAATAAATATATATAGTTGTTCGTCTTACCACGATGCAAAAACCACGCTGGATCGCCGTAAAAGTTGGACACGTTTGCAATGATGGTCACGACCAGCACGACAATCAGTCGCTTGTACAGCAGCGGAGGCCCGCTACGTATACATATATATATGTAGAATTCCCAACAAATATATATATATAATTCCCAACAAATATATATATATATAATTCCCAACAAATATATATATAGATGGTACCCCAAGGACAAGAACCACGAGTCTCGTACACGCACGAGCACGGAAATGATCGAAATAAACACGGCGCCCAGCACCCCTGACACGACCCCGATAAACACAAAAATGCCCGCGTCCACGTACGTAAACACCCTATTATGATCAAATTAAATGAATCGCATTCTCACTTATAGCTGATACACACTTGGTAAAGTTGGTGTCGGTGATGCCGAGCCCAGCCGACCGATCAAAGAGCCCGTACTGGCCGTCAGTGACGAGGAACGCGATGGTCACGGCGCCGGCCAGCGCCGCAAAAAATGACCGCGGCAGGTTGCGCACCATGTAAAACGACGAAGTCACTTCCACGGAGAACAACACCCCCCCGAACGGAGTCCCAAATGTGGCAGCTACCCCCGCCGCACACGCGCACGAGAGCATCTCCAGACTAGGCAAATATATATATATATATATATAAATGTGTGACAGGGAGTCGTACCGTTTGGACGAGTCCTCGTACACGCGACGAAAGTACCCCATCTACCAACACAAACGTCAAGATGACCGAGGGATATTGGTACGTTCGTTACCTGCATGAGAATATCTGCAAAGCAGCACGACATCATGATGAACGGCCCCTCCTTGCCGATACTCAGCCCTATACGAAATGGTATGATTGATGAGGTATGTACATATACATGGTCAATTCGATTCGACCCCTCAATGTTATCTTTAGAGAATAAAAATAACCATTTAAAGCCAATCAAATCACATCATGTCGAATTTCTGCCAATCCAAACGCTTGATTCGGCCCAGTCCCTCGGCATGGGGCAAAACCACATATATATATATATAATCTTTGTATTGTGCTTTCGAGTGAAATATCGTGTTGTGGCGTGGTTTCTCGTTGGAATTTAAATCGATTTGATTGGCTACCTCAGATGAGCTCAAAATTATTAGCCAATCAAAACCTTCTCAATGAAATTTAACCAATCAGATCGATTGTGGATCGGTTTGGTCGGCGCGATTCGATTGCACCCCCTCCCCAAATTTGTATCAAATCGACAATATATGTTGTACAAGATTAAAATGAATTCGAATGTTATACCGCACAAGTCCAAATTTGGGTGAAACGCACAATATGTAGTACCTATTTACAACTATCAAAAATAGTACATCAGTACCTGCAGCATACGCAGTGACCAAGCCTGCCATCTTGACCATGAGGCACGTCGGACTCAAGTACTCGCGCATGTCCACGCCTAACACACCCCGTGATCGTTAAGCATGATGTACATACAGTACATGAAGAAGTTCTTACCAGAGAGAGCCACCTTCATCTGAGGCAAGCCAGAGCCAGCTGCTTGTGGGCACACGAAATGCACGAGCACCTGTTTATATATTTAAATCACATCCAGCAAGGATCATATATATATATATATCAACATACCGTGCCGACGCCACCCATCGCCAACGAAAAGATCAAAAATGCAAAAAATCTAATTATATATATATTTATAACAGTATTGGATATACGAGCAACAAAAACATAGCAGCACAGTACCCGAGACTCGCTAGCTCTTGGTGAAACATCGTCACGCGTAAAATCATGGCGTCCATCCAAAGCCTGCCCAGTTATGATAAATATAAACAAATATATATATATATACATTACCCGAGAAAAGCTGCGAAAATCCCAATGCACACGAGCAAGATGGGACTCTGCAGGAGAACGAGGATGCCTCTCCATCCTACTTGCGGTTGTGAATGGCAATGATGCGTGAGATGTGTGTGTGTACCTTTGGGGGCGGGCGACACATAGATGGAATGGTACTCGCCATCGAACAACGTGATGTCCTTGCTCGCGTCGAGGTCTCCAGATTCCCTACACATAAGACCTCCTAAGTGACAATATGCTGATGAGAAGGGGTACCCGGAAGTGCCGTACGTTTGGCCAGAATACGACGTCGACCGCAGCAAATGGGAGCTATTCCGTCGGGAGCGCAACCGACCTGCAGCGTTATTGAACTCGAACGACGGCGTCAGGGCTAACAACCGTGTTTCAGTAAGCCCACAATACCCACGTGAGGCCACCGACGGCATGTGCATCGTTGATGTACAGTACATACCTTGATGTTCCCACATCATTTCGTCATGGTCGTCACGAAGCACAGGCGACACGATCTCATTGACAGCTGAGAAGTGGAACGCAGACATCCGACCCTGGCGGCCTGACGTGTCCCCCGCCGCTGGTTCCTTCTGGGGCAGTGACATTCAAGACCAACAATGCCAATCAATCGGCCACGACAACTGTTGCAGTTGCAGTGGATGCACCTGACCGAAACAGCACTTTTTTGTCGTAAATACGTGAGAAAGATACATGTCATTTAATATTTTAAAAATGATTCATTTAACCATGTACGTCGTTCGATTGCGGCCACTTCTAAGCGCGTAGGTAACAACATTCGGGTCGTATGATGCGCGCATGTCACCACACTTCCTCCGTCGTCCACCGCGTTCTGTCCATGGCGGTCCTTACACACGGACACACGCTTCCAGTGCCCCTCCATCCCGTTATTTATACCACATTTTTCATTTATAGCCGAATTTATATCGGCGAGATGCCATTGGCTGGTTGCAACCACGTTTTTCCATTTCCACACAAAGCGAAAACGCTGGTGGCACTGCTGGTCGCGGACTTGTCGACGAATTGTACCGAGCGCTACAAGCATAAGAAGCCCCAGGAACAAATCCCACGTCGCTCCATCCATCTCAACGCAGTCCACCCACGCCGCACCCCATGGACGCCATGTCAGATTACGAAAAAATGGCGCGGCAGGCGGCGGAAGATGGGTATGTTTGCCCGCCCTGCAAAACCTTTTACCCTACCCCGGACGAGTTTTTAAACCCACTGCAGTACATCGCCAGGTATACAAACGTGCTATTTCGAGTGCCAAGTGAAACCTGTCATATTTAATATTTACCTTCCTACGGTAGTATCCGCGCGGAAGCGTCGGCTACGGGCATCTGCAAGGTCGTTCCGCCTCCGGGATGGCGGCCGCCCTTTGCCGTCAATGAGAAGAAATTCAAGTTCCGCACGCGGCTGCAACCGTTGAACTACATCGAGGTACATATATACATATGTCATGAGCACATGAAAATGCGGCGGTGGTTGGAGATACTCATGCTGCGACACTCGAATGTACAGGGCAACGCACGACAAGAATCTACATTTATGGAGAAGTTACGTCTCTTCCTCGTACGTCCATGATGACACCACGACCAACAAGGATCGTTCATTCATACAAATGTTTCCCTAGTATCGCAATGGAACCCCCATGGAGCAGACACCAGTGCTGGACGGACTGGGCGCGAATCTCAGCACTTTGTACAAACTCGTGTGTGACATGGGCGGCTTTGATGTAGTGGAGAAAGCGTCTGCGTGGTCCCGCGTCGTGCAGACCCTCAGCGAAGTGACAGACTTGGCGCCCGCGGCCCCCACCATCGACGACGACGTGCGCGCGCTGTATGCCACGTACTTGCTTCCCTTGGAATTGTTTGAAGCGACCAAATCGACTAAAATCGAACCTACCAAAGCCGACCCCACGCCACTTCCACGTACGGACACTGGAACCCCCGACGCAACCAAACCATCCCTGCCAGACCTGCTGGCGGCCCCCGTAAAACGAGGCCGCGGCCGTCCTCGAAAGGCAGACGCAGCAGTGCGCGCTATCGCTCCCCGTGTCCCCAGTACGCCCCCCCCTCCTCCGACCACTGCCGACGGCGACTTGACGACCCCCACCGTCTTCCCCGGCTTCATCAAGCGAGGCCGCGGCCGACCTCGGAAAGCCGACAGCTTGGCCATGCGACTGCTCGGCGCCGACGCCCAAGTGCCCGTGGACCCTACCCTGCTGGAAACGTCTGCGTTGGCAGTGGACCCCCTACGAACCTGTCGGCTGCCTCCTCCGAGTGTGCGCGTGGGCCAAAAGTTCTACCGATGCATCGTCGCTGGCACGGCCGTGCTCGGGGAAGTGAAGCGCGTGCTGCCGGGAAAGAAACCGATGGTGGTCGTGGAGTATCCAGGTACTATAACAATGTATGCACTGGAATACGCTAAGAAATCTTCGTGTACTTCGTCTATACAAGCAGTAATGTGCTTTTTGCTGACATGTGGACGAATTGATTTGAGCCAATAAAGAAGATGCACGTTTTCCCTATACCATACGAAACGATGATTGGTTGAAATTTTTATCGTTCGTGCATTTGGATTGGCTAAGACAGTTTCAAATACATTTGGTAGTAAATGCATTCGATGCTACTCAAAAGTCCAAAAAGTGAAACGGATATGACAATATATATATATATATAAATAACCATCGACTGCTTGCTTGTCCATATATATATATATATATATATATATATATTTATTCATTCCCTTGTGCATATGTACCTAGAGGGTGTGCGAGACACGTTGTCGTATGGCACGATGCAACTGATTCTAGCCAACGGCAGCTCGAGGTACTGTGCTCGGTGATTTGCTTGGTTATGACTGAAGTGGCCATAGTGACTCGGCGCAGTTGGCGTTGAACAGTCGGATTTGCCAGTATTGTTTGCGAGGGGACTGCGATAGCCAGATGCTGCGCTGCAGCGGGTGCAGCGGCGGGTATCACACGTTTTGCCTATCGCGTCCGATCGCTAGTGTGCCCCCGGGCGACTGGTACTGCGAGGTGTGCATTGCCGAGCAAGTGGCGCAGAAACCCGAGAAATTCGGGTTTGAAACAGGCGCAGAACACACGCTCGCATCGTTCAAAGCCAAAGCGGACGCATGGCAGCTTGCGTACTTTGCGACGCCGCCGTCGGTCCAGCAGCTCGAAGCCGAGTACTGGCGCGTGGTGACCAATCCCGACAAGAAGATCCAAGTGGAATACGGCAGCGATGTGGACACGGGGGCGATGGGCAGCGGATTTCCGACGCTGTCGAAGGTCAATAAGCTCCGAAACCGCCTCGTCGACCGCTTCAACGCCGTGCACGAGTCGCCGCATCTGCTGGACCCGACAGACCTCGCGCTCAAGCGAGTGCTAGCCGAAGATTTGGACATGCAAACGGTGAATCAAGTGCACAAATACGCCACGAGTCCATGGAATTTGAATAATCTGCCCAAACTCAACGGATCGATGCTCCAGTACTTGAACGAAGACATCAAAGGAGTGATGGTGCCGTGGATGTATGTTGGCATGTGCTTCTCCACGTTTTGCTGGCACGTCGAAGACCACAACTTTTACAGCATCTCGTACCTGCACCGCGGCGCCCCCAAGACGTGGTACGTTTATATATATATATATATATATATATATATATATTGACTACACCTATGTGTAGGTATGGCGTCCCTGGACACGCGGCGGCGAAGATGGAGTCGGTCATGCGCAAGTTGACGCCGGGTTTGTTTGGGTCCCAGCCTGATCTGCACATGCAATTGGTGCGATATATATATATATATATATATATATTGCCTTTTTACCCACAAAAATGTTGGACTTTTGTGTGCGGATTCTTTGCCAAATCTATCGATATATCGATTCGTTGTACTGACTTTAGTATGATAAAATCGTCCAGTGTGTCACACTAATTCAAGTCACTCAATTGTAAAGAAGAGTGGGTTTGATTGGCTACTTATTATTTCAGTGATCTGGGTTTTGATTGGTCGTATATATCGATTGTCTGCCAATATATTTGGTTATTCTACTCCTCTTACACTCGATTGAGTGCAGCATCCAACCCCCACCTCCAATTTCGAATCGACTACTAGTCGAGTTGGTTACTAACTAGTCGAGTTGTTTACTGTGTCCAGGTGACAATGTTTTCCCCCCAAACGCTGCAAAAGCATGGCGTGCCCGTGTACCGAGCGACGCACAACCCGAACGAGTTTATCATCACGTACCCGTCTTCATATCACGGCGGGTTCAACAATGGGTTCAATCTGGCCGAAGCCGTCAACTTTGCCACGCCCGACTGGATCGCGTGGGGCCACACGGCCGTGCAAAACTACAAAAAGTAGACCATCACACGATCTGTGTATATATTGCTTGACTGATATATATATATATATATATATTTGGGTAGATTTTCGAAAGTCCCAGTGTTTTCCCATGATGCGTTGCTCGTGACAGTCACGCTGGCGTCGCTCGAGGGCACGAACGCATTGGACTCGGACAGCGTCAGAAGCTACCTCTTGCCCAGCCTCAAAACGCGTACGTACATCCTACTCCTTGATTGATGGCATTTATATATATATATTGAACTAACCATTTATTTTGGTTTTCTAGTGCGGGACGAAACGGTAGCCTTCTGGGACGCTGTGCGCCAGTATGGCATCACCAAGTCGGAAGCTATGGACGGGTACTTGGAATCGCATGGGCGGTCGACGTTTTCCCGCGCGTCGGCGCGGATCCGACTGGCGACGGCGGCCGACGAAGACGAGGACGACCCGCCGCCGCGTCCGTCGAAAATGATGCGCTCAGACAAGATGGGCGGCAAGATGATGGCGTCCAACTCGCGCGCGGCGCGCCAAGTGCTATGGGCGGGCCGCTCGGGCAAACACGACGGGTTGCGGTGCTCGCAGTGCCAGCAGTACTGCTACGTGGCCGCGGTCGTGTGCTTCAAGTGCCGGGCGATCGGGTGCGCTGACCATTTCAACTCGCAGTGCAAATGTGACGCCAAAGCGAACGGTATTTGGCTACACCATGTCGACACGACCGTGCTGAGCCAGTACATCGACACCCTCGAACGCAAGTTCCAGGACGCGCAGGCGTGGGAGGCCCGTGTGGACGGCGCCGTGACCCTGGACGACCTGACGCTCGCCGTCGCCCAAGGGGACCAGCTGATCGCCCAACACGTGGACGTGCCCATTCGCCGCCTTTATCAAGAAAAGCTGGTCATGCTAGCACTCCACAAATGGCAAAGGCACGCCAAGCGGTGTCTCGAAACTGGCACGACGCTCAAAGAGCTCGACGAGTTGGCCCGCGAGGCCGCGTCGTTCAAGTACACGATGCCGCAAGTCCACCAGATCTCGACGCTCATGGAAACCACCCGAACGTTGCAAGAGCAAGCGCAGTTGGTCGTCCACGAGATGAAGCTGTTGAAGGCCGACAACGAACAAGGTGGCGATGCAGACGACGACGATGATGGGAATTCGATGGAAGCATTGCAACGAGAAGCCGCCGAATTCGACGTGTTTGCCCAAACCATCGAAACCCTCCTGGCCAACCTCAGGCCCGTGACCATTCCAGAAACAGCCGCGCTGCAAACCGATTTGGCCTACGTCAACTGGCTGCGCGCCGCTAATGCCCTCGTCACGAAGGCGATGGCCAACTCGTCGGCGGTGCTTTCGACCGCCACGACCCTCTACCCCACACTGGCCGACATTGACCTCGTTTGGAGCAGCTGCCCCGTCAAGACCGTGCGGCTTCTCGACCGCGTAGCGCATTTGCGACAGGCGTGCATTGACGAAGGGCTCAAATGGCACGTAACGACTGCCAACAACCCAAAAAGTGTGGAGGAGATGGAGCGGCTGCTGCAGCGCCTGGTGCGGTTGCCGGCGTTCCCCCAGGAAGTGGTGCACCTGTTGAGCAAGTGGAAACAAGCCAAGCTCTGGACCGAGAAGGCGACCAAGGCGCTGGCGAAACCCAAACTCGGATGGACCGACGCTCTAGCGTTGGAAGCCCAAGCCGACTCGACTGACGTCCCCATGTCGTCGCTGCTCCGGCGGCAGCTGCACGGACGCATCCAAGATGGCAACCGATGGATCGCCCGAACCAACAGCCTCTTCAAGTGGGAAGGCAGCGCCGTCCACTCTCTCCAAGAGACGCTAGAGCGGAACGCCGTCGAGGACGAAATCACGTCATCCCTGATTTGCATCTGCGAACAAACGTATCACGAACACGTGCCAGTGTTGCGATGCACGGGGTGCACCACATTGTACGATTGATATATATATATTTATATATATATATATTATTGTCCTTTTACCCCAAAAAGTTGGACTTTAGTGTGCCTGTAAATGGATTCTTTGTACTGATTTTTGTATTATGGTAAAATCGTCTTCCAGTGTCACACTAATTCACGCCACACACGAATTTGATGTTGAATTGGTAAAAAAGAGTGGTTGATTTGATTGGCTACTTGATTGTGATCTGGGTTTTGATTGGTCGTATATCGATTGTTTGCCGATTTGATTGAGAGCATTACCCCCCCACTCCAATTTCGAATCGACTTGACACTATACATATATATATATCGTATCGTATATATTACGTATCGTATATAGTTGTTTCCCTTTTGATGGTTACAATGATACTATGTATTTGTATGTTGGGTAGATTTCACCGCCGCTGCATTGGGGATGTGGTGTCGACGTCATTTCTATGCAAAACGTGCTGCTCGTCGCGCCGTAAGCCGTACACTGGCGGCGTAGTCGTCGACAATCCCACCGAGGCCGTGTACTGCTTGTGCCGCACGCCCGTGGACAACATTCCCATGATTTGCTGCGACTTCTGCGACGAGTGGTGCGACTAACTAGTCGATTTGATCACCACTGGGGTTCACGTGTGTATCTTACATATATATATATATATATATATATATATATATGTAGGTACCATGCCAAGTGCATTGGGCTGTCGCCGGCCGTGTTGAGCTCTCTGGAAGCGTACAGGTGCAACGCATGTGCCATCCGCCAACACATCCCGCCCCGGCATCCCGCGCGCCCGAACTGGAAGCAAGTTCGGGCGCACATTGCGCGCGGTGAGTCTCTCCAGATCCACGTGCCTGGGCTGGACGAGTTGAAGGCCCTCGTGGCCCACGGGCTCGACGTTATCGCAGATGTGACAGCGTTTGAACAGTCTTTTCTCGACCGGTGCGCGCTGGCCACGATTGCGCACCGCATGGACACATTGGCACAGGAACTGGACGACAAAGTCGCCGCCGTCCGCCGCGTCGAGTCGCTCGTACTTCTCGACCCTGCCAAGCACAAGCTGCTTCCTCTGCAGTGGTTCTTGCACGCGTGTCGCCTGATCTTTTGCTCGACGCCAGCCCCACGGTAGCCACCAACCCCCACGACCATCAAGATGAAAATGAAGTTTATGTATGTGATGCATATGTAGGTATTCCCAGCTGGTGGTGTTGCTAAACGACGTGGCGCTCCACAAGCTCGAGTTTCCGACACCAGAACTGGACCGGTTTTACCGCGAGATTGAACGCAAGCTGGCGCGGGCGGTGACGTGGGTGACCCAAGTCAAGACCATGAACATGAAGGCGCCCAGTTGCGATCTCGTCGCACTCCAAGCAGAGGCCGAAGAAATCTCCCACTTCCTCGTGCTGCCAGACGCAGCCGTGTCCAATTTCAACCTCGCCCTCAAGTTTCACTACCAACGGTGATACAGAAGTATATATATATGTATAACAAACACGTGCTATTTACCTCTTCAACCACTGTTACTTGTTTACATACTTTCTATAGAATCTCCGCTAACTAGTAACCTTACTCGTTTCGTCACGTTGGCATGTTCCAGTAACTAAGAGTAAAGTCAGAGTTCAGTCATTACTATAGTAGTTAGTATCAACAACTTGTGATGCTGCTTGCTATTTCGTTATGCGACGTCTGCAAACCCTACGCGAGACGTGCCGTTGGTGTTCCATTCAAAGACGGTGTAATGCTTGCGCATGAACACATCGCCGAGGATCCAAAGCGGTCCGCTGGGGATGTCGAGCCCGACAAACGCAAAGAGGCAGATGGGACCGCTGCGGATGATATAGTCCTGCTTGGTCAGCGTGTACACGTTGCCGCCCAGCGTGAAGCTGATGGCCGGGCCAGGCGAGTCGCACTGAATCAAGTACTCGCCCATGATGAATGGATGGGCGCCCGCTTGCTTGGCTAGCGACTTGACCAGCGCCTTGGGCCCCGCCAGCAGCGACGTACCCGAGTCCACGATCGCTTGCGTCGGGCCAGACACTTCGCTGCCGCCCACCTTGATGCTGTCGACCGGGATCTGCCAGTACGTAGCACTGGACAGCTTGACGTACGTGATGTCGCCCTTGTAATGCTTGGGGTCGAGCTCGCCAAACGTGAGTTCGCCCGGCTGGTTGTCGCCCAAGTAGAACGCAAACACGGGCTTGTCCAGCGTGTCCAGCAGCCGGTGGAACGGTGTCTTGACGTGGCCCACGGAGATCGAGTCGAACGCGAGCCCGAAGATGCCGTCGAAATGGCCGAGGTAGTACATGGGCCCGAGTCCCTTAGTCACGTTGATTTCGGCAAAGAACTGGTCCGTGAGGGTCAACCCGCCAAACTGGAGCGTGTCCTGCGACAGAAAGCCCGACACCGGCCCACTTCCATACTGGATGTGGAACGTCGTGCCGTTGGGCTTGTACGTCGACGATTCCTTGTGGTTGTACACGTGATGCGTGCCAAACAATCTGTTGGGGACCCACAGATTGCTCGACCCTGTGTCGAACACCACGTTGAACTTTTGTCCAGGGGTGCCCAAGGAGATCTCGCCAAAGTATTGCGCGTTGCCAAAGTCCTCAATCACGACACTGCCGTGGTCCTCCAACGTCAGGCCCGTGGGGTCCCACACACGAGGGGCCTTGAGTCGTTGACCCTTCAGGTACCCCTCGACGAACTGCGCATCGTCCAGCTTTGTCACGGGAACGCGAAAGGTCACCGCCGCCACAGACGCGGCCAGCCATCCCAAAGCACACACGGCGATCTTCATTTCGGCGAGGAGATTGCAAAATGAACCGTCGAGAAGACATCCCCACACACAAATCTTTCCTCCAACGGACTCACCAATTCTCTGGGCAAGTCAAACAAACTCACCTTTTGGCTAGTACTACTAATAGTAGTATTGATTGACAACACAATCTCGTCGACTATTATAGTAGTACTAGAGGCCGCAACCGAGCTATCCGGATAGTTGTTCAACAGGGTGTCAATGAAGTGGCGGGCCGCTTTGTTTGTCGCGGCGGCGGCGGTGTCGAGTGGCGTGACGTTGTGGCTGTGTTCGACGCTGTACTATCAATACATCGTACATTCATGCGGGTCGCAAGCGATGGAGGGTGGCGGCACGCGAGTCGTCGTCGTCAGTGATGCACACATGCTGGGCCACCGAAAGCGATCGACGGTGGAACGGCTGTGGGTGGACTGGCAAGCATGGCTGTCCTTCACGACGATCGTGTCCAGGAGGAGACCAGACTTAATCGTGTTCCTCGGTGACCAATTCGACGAAGGCACTGCCGCCACGAACAACGTTGTGCACAAGGTACCACCGAATCAGTCCTCTCCCGCACTTTCGTCGCCCATCATCCATGGGGCTGTAGGAGTACATTGCTCGGTTTCGAGAAATCTTCGACCCGAACGTGGCGCAAAGCCTTCATTTGGTGAGTGTCATCCCAAGTTCTTTTGCATTGATGACACTCGACGGTAGCTTGGCAACCACGATGCTGCGTTTGGTCCTGGGTTGACGGCGCCGCTGGTCGGTCGCCACGAGCGAGAATTTGGACCGGCCAATCGCGTCGTGAATGTTAACAACGTGCTCTTCCTGCAGCTGAACACGATGGCCTTGGAATCCGACGTGCTGGACCAGCAAGTGCACCACGACGCCATGGCGTACGACCACCCGCCATATTTGCTTTGTCCATATGAAGTCTCTCCATGTCCATTGATCGTGTCTTCCCGCAGGTTCTTAGACAGTGTCGAAGAGAAGCGCCGCAGCACTGGCTTCCCCCCACTGGTGCTGCTGACCCACTTGCCACTGTACCGTCCCGACGATCTGGCCTGCGGTACATATATATATATCGATTGGATCTGCAAAACACAGATAATATTTATGAAATCACGCGTAGGAGCCCAGCGAGCAGCCGAGTCTGGCCACATCACGTACGAAGCGCCGTCGTTCAAGTACACGGAGCGCCACCACGTGCTGTCTAAAGCTCTGTCCGAGAGGCTGCTGGCAACGATTCGGCCGGTGCTGGTGCTGTCTGGCCACAGCCACGCCACGTGTGCCCATGCCCACCGGGTGCACTATCAACCCCATCCCGTCCAAGAATACACAATCCCGACCTTTTCCTGGGGCATGCGACCAGATCCATCGTACCGTGTTCCTGTCCATGGAGCTAGTATTACTACTTCGGCATGGTAGGTTCGCCATCTTGACGGTCCTCGACACCTTGCCCACGGCCAGTAAGGACGACCCATCGTCCGTGGGCCTGCACTTGGCCACATGCAGCCTGCCGCGCGAAAGCCACTTTGTTGCAGTGCTAGTACTGGCGGCAGGGCTGCACGCGTCGGTGGCATGGGTGATATACAGCCACCTGTGGCCATCGCGGCCCCTCCACTCGCCTCGAAACGATTGAAACTGTCAAGCAAGGTCACGAGCGATGAATCGTGCTTGTTTGTATCAGTATTCGTTGAACGTGATACTCGGGGCCTGTTCCAAGTAGATATTTTTAGCAAATGATCAATTTTGGTTCCAAGTACAGTTTCCTACTTTTTTTAAAACGAAGATGCCAATTTAAAGAGACGTCGTCGTACAATGCATCTTATGCGTCTCTCAGGACCGGGATTTCAATTCTGAATAGTGCTGCATGAAGCCGAAAGGTTGGCCATTCTTCTGATTATTTAATTGGCTTGAATTGACTTCAGCTGTTAACGTTCATTTACTTCGATTTCCATCAAGCAAAATAATTGGGACGGTTGATGATAGTGCACGGTTTAAGCTTAAAATATGTATGCTGGTTATTCTTATTTTCTCGTGATTGGATTGGCTATTCGAAACATGAAACAATTCCATTGGCCAATGAGTGCACCTTAAACTGGCCATCTACGTTACTTCACCATTACCCGATCAAGAATAATTCCCTCATCAAAACAGGTCACTGTTGTTTTGACCCGAAATCTGGAAATATTACATCCGGATACATCTTTTCTCCGGTAGCCCTGTAACCTGGGACAACTGTCCAACCCCCGGAGTACAGTGTGTACATACGATGCTAAATCTCGGGGGTTAACTGCATCGCTAGTGGTTAGCTATCGCTAATCACTGAGTATGAAATAGATGATACACGAAATGTTATTTTCTGCTTTTGCTTTGTTGGGGAATGCTCCTTTCTAGCCAATCAAAACCCACGAAAACGGCTTGGAGTAGCCAATGGCATTTAACAACGTTATTTAGTGTGAAAATATCTTGGACAGTGTTTATGACGAGTACGGGATGCCATTTTGCTCCATGAACGCAATCAACATGTGTCGTTCGTTGGGAGGGAGCAGCGACAGTTTATCCGCCGTCATGCCTCGCGCCATGTCGGCCACGACGCTGTCCGGGGGCTGCTGCTGCTGCATTGGCTCCTGCTTGAACCGCTTGGTGTCCGTCCCCATGGGTGCGCCGCCCTCTCGCTTTGCCGCCAGTCGCGGGTCTCGTCGCTGGGCTCGCGGGTCCCGCGCCACCGATCGGCCCACAGGAGGAGGAGGAGCATGCATGGGCGAGCTCGACATCATCATGTTGGTATGGCCAGATGACGGCGGCGGCTGCTGGTGTTGGTGTTGAAGCGGGGGTGGGGCAAAGCCAAGAATTCCACCCGACAGCGGCGGCGGGGGCAGTCGCGAACCCCCTCCACCTCTTGGGGGGTTACTGCTGTGACTAGTGCCGGGGTACTGTTGGATTAGCGGCGTCTACCGAATGGGATGAACACCACATGAGAATGTATGTTGTGTACCTTGAGCACAGGGGGCAACGACGTCATGGAAATGTTCAGTTTCTTGAAACACTCGATGAGAGCATGAACGAGCACGGGGTTGGCTCCAAGAAGATGCTTTGTGGCATCTGGAGAAGCGCGGGCGAACTCTTGGAACGCCGACAGCATGTCGTACAGCGCGAGGCGGCTCTGGGACGCGACGGCGCTCTCGATGCTCTTGATGAGAGCTTCCCCGCTGACTCCCGCCGTCCTGTCCCCTCTGTCAGATTTTTGTGTTTCGCCACCATCCGCAAAATCGACGCGTAAATTCCGGCCGTTCACTTCTGTGCCGTTAAGGTTGCGCATAGCGCTCAACGCGGTCGCGCCGTCGGCATATTCACAGAAACCATACCCCTTGGGCTTGCCAGAATCCCTGTCTGTCACCAGCCTACGCACGCGTCAGAGTCAGTCGACCCAAGCAAGCGCCTCCACGCACCGGAAATTCACCACCGGTCCCACCGCAGAAAATATGTTCTTCAGCGTCTCTTCCGAGACGTCGTAAGGAATGTTTCCGACTAGACAAACCACATGCAGCATAATGAGATGCGATGATGCTGGATATCCCATGAACGCACCAAAGACACTGCGCTCCTTCGCCGTCGTTGTGCGGCCCTTGCCTGCTCCACCGCCGCTCATCGTTCCTGGCAAACTTGAAAATTCCAGCAATCGGTTTTCATTGGCTGATAAACCCATTTTAACAGCTTTTGATTTGATATATACCTAACATTTATCTACCAATGGGATAGTGCTGTTTACACACAGTCCGATGTCTTCTCGAAGAAGGTACACTGTACACGGGATGTCGCAGCGCAGCATGAAGGCAACTAATGACAGTGGCGCCGGAGGCCCGACAGCGGAGGTTGAGGGCTCTTCCGTGTGGTCCAGTGACCTCGAGAATGACAAGGACGACGACGACAATGACAAATCTGCGGCGTTGAATTCAGAGGACAAGAAGACCCGTCGACGAGCCCAAATCGCCAAATCTGCGCGAAAGCACCGCGTGCGGCAGAAAGCTGAGCTCCACGAGTTGCGGGCTCAAGTCCAGGAGCTCACGGCGGCGCTATCGTCTTGCCGTCGGAACTGCCGACGTCCACCTCCGGACGGCATGCCTGGAAGCATCCCGTCCCTGGACACGTCCGACGAGCTCGAAGACTTTGGCGTGCAGGCTTCGCTGCGGGGTCTGTGGCTGAATGCTCCGCTCCAAACCGACACTGGTCCCGGTCCCAACGTGTACCATCCGTACCATCACTTGTACGCTGACCCTGCCGAGCGCCACGCGAGTCTTCTGGCCATCGCTAAGCCCGCGCCGTCGCGCATGTACACTCAAGTACGTCCGTCTTGTCCTTATCTTCCTATTAAAATGAGCTCGTGGAGCGTAGATCTTGGAAGACACGCATGCGATCCCGTCGTTTCCGCCGTATGTGGACGTGCGCATGACGAGCATGGGTGAGAACGTCAGCATCAAGTTCTGCCGCGTGTGCGAAATCACCAACTTTGACCACAAAACCGTGTCGGATGTGTTCTGGGCCGTGTTCTGGGGCTTTGGCGACGACGACGTCGTGACGAACGCTGGATTGTGCCGCCGAAAGGTATCTATGACATGATGACGTAATCGTTGGGTGATGACGCAATCAATTAGCGCCTGCTCCAAGTCAACGCGAACGCGCACTACGAGCGCGTGACGTACGCGGTCCCCAACATGCCGGACGTGCAACTTGAGTCACTGGACGTGGTCACGCGGTCGAGTGACCCGAATTACACCATCTTCACGTGGGAGTCGATCGACCAGGACGACCTTTTTCCCGCGTCCGTCCCCGACTACCACCCGACGTCCACCACGACCATTCGGCGCGAAGAAATCGGCAGGTTTGGATAACTGTACTAGTACTACTAGTACTACCTACTACTGGATCGATCTATTAGTGTCATGTTTCGCACGGAATGTGACGCGGACGGCAACATCCGCACGGTCCTGCGCACGGTGATTTACTCGCGGCCGTTCGTCCAGACGCTGCCCAAGAAGACGACGAGGGACATGAACGAACCGTTCGCGCACCTCTACTGCCGCCTCAACGTCCTTGCCGAAGAACACGTGTCGCGGTACCTTCTGCACAAGTTCATGTCCGCCTAATACCACAAAATGTATGTATACCGTTGTTCCTGTCAGTAAATACAGTATACTACCAGCGGGGCACCAGTTCCAGTGATATGTGTACTGTATATAGTTGAGCTCGTTCAATAATGGCATTATTGTGGTCAAGTACTCTGTAGTACTAGTATTAATATTAATAGTACAGTAGTAGTTTCTTCTACTGCGTAGTACTGTAGTACTTGTAGGTACTAAGTACTTAGTACTACAGTACGTATTACACAAATATGACCAAATCGACGTAGTACAAGGAGTAGTACATACAGTGTACTAGTATCTCTCACCTTGGGACTTGTGTGTCAAGTTGGTGTTGATTATCAGATGGTACTTATGAGTTTTATTCAAATGCGTTTTACTACGTTTTATAGGTTTTATAGCAACCACTTATTGTATTAATAGTACTATGGTATTAGTAGTACCGTAGTTCTAGTACTACTACTATTAGCAAAGGGATAGTATTAATAGCTTACATTTTGGCACCAACCACCACATAGTACTACTAGCTACATTCTTGCGTTAAACTCACGATAGCTTCACTACCGCATTCGTCTCATCAAGGACGGACTGCAGTAGCCATGTCGATCAAGCCACCGTCTGTCAAGTATGAGGCCATCCAAGCGCAAGAGGAGACCGTGGACGTGTTGGGGTTGAATGGGATCCCGCTGACCGTGCTGGACGAGATCAAGCAGCACAAGGTGTTCATCACGGGGTCGCTCATCGTGCTGGAAGCGTCCGTCATGTGGGCGTACTTCTCGTGCTTGTCGGCGCAGGACTACTACAAGAAGGCCTTTCCGTCTGTGAACTTTGACTTCCTCACCACGCCGCTGCTCACGTGGCCGTTGGTGATTGGACACGTGCTACAGGCGGGGTTCCACATCCGCCTGAGCTACAAGTACCGCGTGTCGATCGGGTACTTTCTCTTCGCACTGGCAGCCACCGTCATCATCGCCCAGGACTTTCTCACGCTCGACAACACGGTCGCGGCGTACGCGGTGCTGGCCAGCTTTGCCGTCGTGGGCATCGCGCACTCGGTCGTGGAGCCGGCCTTTTACCTCATCGCGGCGCTCTTCCCCGACGAAGACTCGACGCACGCCGTGCAGATCGGCAACGTCGCCGCCGGCGTGATCAACATCGCGCTAAGCACACTCATCCGCGTGTTTGTCGGGGGGTTCGACCTGGACGAGAGCCGCACCAGCGTCACGCTGTCCTTCTACCTCTTCATGGGCCTGCTTCTCGTGGTATGCGTCGTGGCTCTTGTGGTCTTCCACAACTTGGAGGCTCTGCCCTGCGTCAAGTACCTGCTCGACCGAGCGGACGACGACCACTCCAAGTACGGCCACCCGTCGCTCCCCGACTTGTGGGCCAAGTACTGGCGCGTGTCCCAGACGATCGTTCTGCCCATGGTGGCGCAGTTTATGATCTTCTTCTGCTCCCTCGCGCTCTTTCCGGGCGTCGGCTGCGCGTCCAGCCTGCACGTGCTAGATTCGGCGTCCGTACCCGCCGCGTGGTTCTGCTCCCCGGGCATCATCGGCGCCTACAACGTCGGCGACTTTCTTGGACGGATCGTGTGCACCAAGGCCGTGTACACCATGCTCACTCTCCGATCGTGTTTTGTGCTGTCGCTCCTTCGGTGGCTGTTGCTGCCGCTGCTGCTCCTGGGCACAGCCTCGAGCCCCCTCTACGCGTTCGAGGGGGTTCCCGTGGTCGGGTTGTACTGGGCACTTGGCCTGAACGTGCTGCTGGGCTTCACCGCCGGCATGTTCAGTACCATCACTATGGGGCTGGCCCCCCGCCTCGTCGCGCAGGAGGACCGCGAGGCGGCGGGCTCGCTCATGGTGCTCAGTCTCTTCCTTGGCCTAGCGCTCGGCTCGACGTTTGGCTTTGTGCTCGGTAGCAACCACTGGCTCGACATTGGGTTGTAGAATCACTACTATAGTACTACTCGTCGGTGTCGTTAGGTGTTTTAGAGGTTTTGCCGATATACTACTACTCGTTCACGACTTTCAAGTGCGTTCCAATGTTGACTGTCCGTTCGACGAGTCCAACCCAATATATATATATATATATATATATATATTGGGTTGGTATATATATATATTGTTGCAATTGATGGATGATAATACAAAACTACTACTTCACTACTGTAGTGATGGGATGCCTCACGAAACCGTCGGCCGTTGGTGTGTTGGATGTAGGCCGAGGTGGGAGTTCCATTTCCCCACGTCGCATTGGACAGTCCAGCGCCGGATTAGGACGTCCCAATGCTCCAACATCGCAAAGGTGCAGCTCTCCACCAGAGCTTGGTTCAACCTGTCCAACACATGCCCCGAACACGAGGTGGAATCCCTTGTTCGACTCAGCTGAACGCGCTTGATGTACTCGACCACGTCGTTTCGAACCCCGTGGCAGCGCCGTTGCCCCGCCAGGCGAAGGTTGAGACTGCTCAAACTACTATTCTCCTTTGACGACGATTCATTGGCGAGTATCGTCACTCGGTGATTGCACTGGCGGATCACTTGTCCAAGGAATGGAAGGAGGTCGTCGAGGAAGTCGCCAGCGTGCGAGTCATCGGTGGATGGCTTGAGACCGGAGCGTGGCTTTAGGAACGTCTCAATACGACGGACGACGTTCTGCAGCCGCCGCGCCCCCTTCTCACACAGGCCAGGAATGGGCTGTGGTGGCGTGGGTAGTGATTTGGGAGCCGGAGGGGGTTGGTAGCCGCTGTAATAATACCACACCGTTTTAGTTGGCGATGGGGGCACTTGGGGTCGTTTAGAGGGTGGTGGCACACCACATACGTGTCTAGAAGTTGGTGGATCGACCTCTGGCTGAGCTGAAGCAGCGATGACGACGACGACAGGTGCAACGTTGCGGCGGCCATCGTCGCAACAAACTCGTCGTCGTGGGAAGTGTCCACCTCTCGAATCGTCAGCTGCTGAAAGTTTGCCACCACTTGCACGTGATAGATCGAAGCCAGGACAGCATGGGTACTCAATTGCTCGATTGGAATGGCATCTACTGATGAATAGCTGCATCGGTTCAACCGCAAGTCGCCCTCGAAGAGGATGACATCACCTTCGACTCCGGTGTCGACTTGATTAGCGACGTTTGAAGGCTGGATGACCGACGTGGATGCTGCTATAGGATGCTGGGCTTCGTGTCTTGCTTGTGGAAACATGGTGGCAATGCTATTGAAGTCTATGCCACCGTGGCATAGACTTCAATAGCCATCACGTCATACCGTGGATTCAAAGATGATTGAGAGGTGACAATCTCCTCTCGAAGCGAATACACATGGCAGGAGGCTGCTTGATCATCACGTTGGACTGGGTCGGACGATTCCATCATGCCCACGATGCGTGCCATGGGATGCCGCTCCACTTGGCCGTGGCTGAGCACAAGCCCAAGGAACACATCCAACGACGTGTTCAGTCGTCGCATGCTTTGCTCGTTGGTTTGTGAGAACTCGACTGTCTTTCACAGCACCAGCATCTTGACGCGTGTACGCTAGAACGATCCTTCGTCGAGATAGCATGTGGATGTTGAAAATGTAAATTTAGCCGCCATCTTATAGTACTTTCCGGACGACCAACACACTGAGGACTTGATGCAGATGTCATTGTGGTATTATTGATGTGTTAACAACAGCGGAGAACGATGCGAACGACACACGGCAGCCAGGCGATTTTACTGGAGTTGGCCCCGCTCCCTCTGATGCCCGCTGCTGTGCCCGTCATCGTTTATAGCGCGGTAGTACGAATGTCAGCATGACTGACAAGTACAAAATGACGGCGAGTCGACTGCTGCAATGGCCATCGCCGTTGGCTTCGGTGGTGTTGACCTCCCACGTGGTAGCTCCTCGTGCTCCCACAAATCCGTCGTTCCTACGGAAACCAACCACTGCCAGCGCGCCGTCCGCTAAGTTGCTGCTACGGACGGCCTCGACAGCTTCGACCGCCTTACCATTCTCGTCGTTCGGAGTCCCGAGCACTCTGACGACCACGCTGCAGAACGCCGTACGACCTACGACCTCCAAAGACGAGAACCCCCCCTGGACCACTGGCTATACGCTCGCCGTCGTCGAGATCGGGGTGGCTTTTCGCGTCGTGTTGCTGCTGTTGTAAATGACCAAAGGCGGATTGTTTTCCTTGGAGATAGACGTACCAAGTCATATAACGTTGAGTTGGAATCGTTCATGGACCGTTTCAAGGAAGCTTGGTACCCCAACATGCTGTTGATCGCGGGATTGCAAAGCAGGTGGCAGGCGACAGTCCTCATTCCAAGACTATCTTATCGACTAACAATTTCCTGCACTACTAGGTCTAGGAATTGAATGCTCCTTGTACTTCGATAGTCCAGAAAATATCCTACTAAACCGGTAGTACTGGTACACTTCGTGTGTTCTGTGGCTGCTGCTTCCAAGCGACTGCTGCTTCCAAGCGACTTTTTTTTAGAAATGCAAATGGAGTATGTCAGTGGTTCATCTGCGTGAGTTGATTTCTGCAAAGGCCTTACTTGGATCATACAAAAGACGTGTGGATGAGCTGACTGTGAATCGAAATCAAGGTGCGATGCGATGATTGGCTTATGTAATTCGTCCGTTACGAAATCAACCAATAACAACACACTCAACGACGTGGATAATTCAAATGCGTGCAAATCCCTCCACAGTTGGGGTTCTAACGTTAAGATACAAATTCTAGGTTCATGATTGAGTAGCGCTGTATCCGTTACACGTCCGACCAATCCAAACAATCGCAATTAACTATTGACCTTTACGATCAAGTACACATTACGTCAGCTGTTGCTAGGTTACAACGCAAAGGAACTACTACGTAGTATTAATATGTAGTAATACTAAATCTATTGACCAAGGCAAGGCCATCCAATGCACGGGCTTTCTCAAAACGACGTTGCATGTATTCGCCCTTCGATTCCGTGGCAGCCATCTTGCCGGCATAATAAACACGTTGACATGTTTCAAACGCATGAACTGTGCATCACATATGGTAAGTTGGATGGGGGAAGTGTGCGGCCAACTCGACGGGTTGAGGACATTGCCCCAGAAATCTGGCTTCTTGTCGTCCGTCTCGTGGGCAGCCGCCGTGTACGAGGACTCCTAGACAAAATAAAATAAAATCAATAATAATAATAATATTGCTCCGGCCGCGGAACCGCTGGCCCACCTGGTCGGACGGGGTGACTCTTTCTCGGCCAATATGGGCAGCAAGAGCGCCAGTCGTTGATGTCGCCAGTGACGCACGTCCGCGGGAAAAAGGGCACAGACTTGTACTGTAGCCAACGACGGTAGACCTGTCGGCGGTGCACATAGTTGTTAAAATCCACTCTCTGGAAAAATGGATATTAGGTTTAACAGTTTATATATAAAAACCAGTTTTTATAGTTTATATATTTCAAGATTAAACTCTTACTCAGAGTTTGTAAACTCGTCGCCGAGATTGTAGTTGTCTTGATGTAATGTACAGTACCGCCGCACCTTCGGCGACGAATGCGTCGTCCAAAGAAGCCAACACCCCCTCCACCCGTTGCAGCCAATTCGTCCTCTAGCGAACGCCATGCAGTTGCGTTGGGCTGTCATGTCGCTGCTTTTGCGAACCTCATACAGTGGTTGCCGGTAAAACCCGGCCAGTGCAACTTTTGCCCATGACTTGAAAATACTATGTTCAGTGGTATGGCGCACAATCAAAATATAATGAAAATCACTTCGTGCAACTCCGTGAAGACGACATGTATTGGCTAAAACTAAAGTCAGTGAGTCCGGATAATGCGCGTCGCAC